TGTTTATGCATAAGTGTAAAAATGACAAAATTAAATGTTCAAAATAACAAATAGATGGAGAATTGGATAACCCAATCTCACATTTTTCACCATCAATGTTACATCTTTGTGCATCCAGAAGGTGAAAATGTGGTTAGTCGGTGTCACATGTGGGGTTTTGCACTGCTGTAGCCATTTTGAAGACCTGGTGCTGTTTCCATCTTGCCCGTCTTAAGACCTAAGCCTCTCTAGTTTCTGAGCTGCATGCCTGCAAAAATGGGGAAAGGTATTTCAGGGGGGAGTGTTTCACAGTCGCCTTGTTGTTGACAACACTGTAATAACATCATTGAAGTCCTGCCATTCCATAAGCCATGCATCAATCAAGGCCAGGAACATTATAATTGTCAAGGCTTCCAGGTCTGGCATTCAAGATGTGTGCGTCTGGCATTTGTGATGCACAATTTCCAGATATAGTATCTTTCCATTGGCTCTCATTCACTGTCGTGAAAGGTATGATGATGTTATCAAGTTATGATGTGTCAAGGAGCATGTTTATTAAGCAGAGAATTGTGCTTTCTAGGGAAGTTTTTTCCACTTAAAAAGTATACCAGTAGGTCTAAGTGAGTTTGTTTCATGTCTGATGTTTGCTTCATTATCTTCAAATGTGAAGCATTTTCTTTAAAGGAAGTGACCAATGTGAATCATGTGAATTATGGTATGTTATACACAAATTGTTAAGTTTGTTATGAACCTGGGGCAGTTGCAGTTATGACAGTGCAGTTCTGTGCACCTAGTCTGGCCTAACCTAAGCCCAAGCTCAAGCTCAAGCCCTAGTCCAAGTCCAAGTCCAAGTCCAAGTCCAAGTCCAAGTCCATGTCCAAGTCCATGTCCAAGTCCAAGTCTGAGTTGAGCCCAGCCCCAAACCTACAGACCTGCACCTGCATATACACATTTGTGTGCACCAGCATCTACATATGTGTGCAGCCCAGCCCAGCATAACCATCATAAATCAAATATAGCAAACTTAACCTATTACTCCTTAAACTACATCACCTTTGGGAATGGAAACTAGTGATCATCTAATAATCCTATCCATTTGTCATCTTTGACATGACCATCTCTATGTTGAACAGACAGGGTTGGAGAAAGTGAGCCAAAGAAGCACATGCCATCATGACAAGCTGTCTGGGCCCATTGTTCCCCACCAGAAGCCACATTTTGTGTTAATATCAATTCAATAGATGGAAGTGGTTAACTGCTTGTTTGGAAGCATTTGTTGTTGTTTTGGGGGGATGGACCCTTCATCACACCATTCCACATTGTTAATACTGACATTCACTGGTCATTTTATCTGGAACTGACACTTGAATACAAAATTATTTGGAACTAACTTTGTTTGGTAGTAATGGCCAGGGACTTGAATAGTAGAATGCTGTACAAAACACAATTTGAGGTGATATAGATGTGAATTAAGGCAGTGAGAGGGGGGGGGGGCATTGTTCCAAAATTCATGTAGTAGAGTGTCCAGGATGTGAATGAATTCATACTACCAGAATCCTGGTTCTGCGGCGTCCACAAATCGCCGCCTTCACAGCCTGCAGACAATTCACTGGCAATTATCTGTTCCCCTTGCACCCAGTGTTGGAAATTTTTTATGAAAAATCTGGGCAGAGGAGATCACATGTTCCAAAGTGGAGTACAACATCTTCTCAGTGCTGTCAGTCATTACACATTTAGTTAACTTATCATTGGGATATTGGTGGTACAATGGGTGGTACTCAACAGAAGGGCCACATTACATATACAATAATTTATGTAAAAGCACTTCAAATGTAGAAACATCAACATTCAAGAGGACACTGAAATGACACTCTCAGACTCAATAACATATGGGAGTGGATAATCTGTTGAAAAAGCTTTCCATACCATGGATCTAGGCAAGTCTATTTGTTCTGAAGTATTGGTGTGAAATAATAAGCACCTTATGTGGCTCGCACAAAGGGACCATCAAGTCGTTTAGTGAGGGGTGCAGCTTCACAAGATAAGTTTAGAGCTGACCAGGGAAAAATATCACACAACAAAACGCCAATGAGGGGTGTGCCACAGACGGCCAACTACACACGCTCCGCCACAAACGCGATACTCAAGCTCCACCATGATCACGCTTCTCACGCTCCACCACGGTCACGCTTCTGACGCCCCGCCTGGTAACTGGCTTTAAAAACAGCAAAAACACCGTAAAACCCTCGCCCCTTCATCTCCCAATTTCCGGACACCAAACGAGGCGCCGCAGGTCCCAGCCGATCAAAAGAGACGGGCAGCACTTTCAACTGATTTGCCAAGGTAGCGCAAGTACACTGCCTGACAGTCCCGTCCGGGCTGGCCAAAAGGATCAGAGTCAAGTCACTCCGCTGACTCCGGCGGATAATACAAGTTATTAATGGATGTTGGTGCACTTTAAACGACATCGTTATGAAATGTGATAATTTATTATCAATTCATTGGTGTTTTTATCCCGACAAATCCTTTTCTTTAAGTCGCCGGGTCAAATTAATGTGTTCGTATTACCTTGGCCTCCTGGTGTTTTTCCCGGAGTGGGATTGTTGTCTCGGAACATTTTTTTTGTCATTTATGGCAGCGTCTTTTTACTTACAAGGATACCCTTTAACCTTCAATCATTGGCTTTAATTTCAGACCCTTAAATGACAAAATTAACATCATTTCAATGCCCAGTTGCCTTTAGGTTTTTTACTCCGGATACCAGGAAGTGGCAAGAAATCCAACCACAGGCAGGTGTGAACGAGGACGAGTAAGTCCTTCATAATCTTGATGCCCATCTCTATACCGCTTCCCTCAAAAATCATACAAGTCTGTTCAAGACATGAGCGCGAACAGCACGTTTACGCTCTTGACCTTAACGAATCAGCCGCGGCGGGGCGAATCTTTTAAACCAGTTGGAGAGTTTTGGGATGTTCGTAGCCCACCTGAGTTGGGAGGTGGACGCAGGTCACTGAATAGTTGAGACGTTTCCGACGCTAAATTGTGGTTGATTCTCCTATTTTCATTGCCATGACACAGTGATGGAGCGCGGGGCCGTCTGTGGTAGGTGCTTGGGTGTGCGGTTGTTTGTTACCGTTCGTTGCATCCTTGGCAGTTGGTGCTGTTTGTCTTTAATGGTTGGTTAAATCATGTCCAATCTGCGTAGGGCGTGGGAAGTGGACGCTTTGCTAACTTGCAGACCGTTGGGATTCTGTCTCGTCACGTCTCTCAATTCCGGACATTGTTCAAAGACGACTCCATTCAACATTCACACACTTCATTTTCGTCATTTTCACACATAATTTGTCGTGAAGCCAGGTCGCAACACAGGTCGCTTGTTATTTGGCATCCAAGCCTGGTGGGTGCAGGATTTGTGCTCTTGCAAGTACCAACACATGGCTTATGATGGAAGTAGTAAGTCCCAAGCTGTTGCACCTTCTGGTTTCATTTTGTCCTGAACCAGGCAAAATGAGTTTTTCCAAAAGTTGTTTTGTTGTGTCATGGTGGAATACGAAATATTTCATTTTATCCGGTCACAATCTTGTAGTACAGAATCTCGTAGTATACATTATACCGGGAAACGTCCATTTTTCCAACGCTGCTTGGACCCCAAACCCAGACATGTGGCCCTCCCGGCCCATTTGGGAAGCCTGAGGCGCTTAGATGCTGGCTTGACCGCCTTCCGGTTTAATAATGGTTGGCCGACTTTGAGTAAGGTGAGGGACAACAAGCAGTCAACCCCAACCCGGTGGTGTAATGGCATGACACAATATCAACACCTCTGCCACCCAAGTGGCCGAAGATTGAAACACAGGTGGGGGTGGGGACGGCGGGGGGAGGGGGGATAATCCGCGAAAAATGGATTCACGGTCTAAACGGGACACGTCAAATCTGGACTCGTGTCGACAAAATCTGAACTGGTGTGAACAAGTTCCCCACTCAAGGGTAGCCCTGTCCTGTAACTGAACCTTCATCCATGAGCATGGTCTTGTACATCATTCTGCTTGTTAAGCTTTTTATTTGTTAATGAAGACCCTCCAAGTTGTTGCGTTTGTATGCCCCTACCCCCACCATTCAGCTCTGTGCGCACCAGTGAGTGCCTTTTTCTTAAGGCGTGTTCCACGGCGAGCGTATATACGTTATCAGGCGCCTGGACATGACTTGCGACTGACCTTACCCTAAAGTCGTCCCTGGTTGCTACTCGTGGCTTATGGGGTCTACAGTCTTCAACTTACTGAAAATACACAATGTTGGAAGCTCACACTCGCAAATTTCAGCGTCATGCAATGGGCCCTTCAAAACATATTGCCGATAGACGTCATGGGGAGCTCTGGTGCGGCTCCCGCTCTGCGATGGGAGCCAAGGCTATCCCAGTGTTTGGTGCCAATACCAAAAGGACACTTGCTGTACACTGCGCAGCCTTCATCACCGTGCTTTTCATTCCCTGGCGTCATGAGGTTGTGATCATAACGTTAAACTAGGAGTGCTTCCATCTGCCACCGCTCAGTGCTGGCGCATACCACGCCGTGTCGGGCACCGGCCGTCGGCGACACCTCACCGACACGGCCCCGTCCGTTGCAGTGACCTGATTTTCTACCTCAATGCGCGTCGACGCCAGAGTGTGCGCCGCTCGCGGCCGCCCGAGTGTGGCCGGCCGCCGCCCGCCAGCCCAGTAGCCGGCGGGCATGGCCGACTCCAGCGGGCTACGCCACCTAGTGGCCAGCCGCGCGCCGCTGCCGGCCGCCAGCGCGCTCTGCGCAGGTGGCGCCTCCGTCGACCTGTTCGCCGGCGTGCGCCGCGGCGCCGGCGCGGCCTTCGACGCCGACGCCGCGTTCGGCGCGCGCTGGCGCAGCCTGGAGGAGCCGGCGGCCGGCGCGCGGCCGGATGGTGCGGCTGAGCCGGCGCCGAGCCGCGCCTGGGCCACGCCCGCCTCGCCGCCCGGCGGTGGCGGCGCCGGCGCGCTGGACTCGCTCGCGCTGTTCGGCTCGCTCGGCGCGGCTCTGCACGAGGAGACCAACGGCTGGCCGGAGGCGGCGACGGCCGGCGCCCACTTCGACACACCGTCTGACTGCGTGCTGAGCGCGGCGGCGCAGCTGGTGCGCTCCGAACAGCAAATCTCTCGCCACAGCAGCGACTCGGGCAACAGCAGCGGCACCAGGTGAGGACCGGCGCACGCCACCACCGCAGAGGTGTCAGCTTTGGTCGTTGTAAGGTCTGTGCCACACCAAGCTGATGCGGCTGGTGCCCATATCTTCGCTAGCTTCTGTCAGCAGCACCACCGCGACATTGCGTGCAATCGCTGACATTGCACTTGTAAGTGGCAACATTGCAGCGTGACGGATGACCGGTCACGAGAGTGAGTGTCATCCGGCGGCCTGTGACGGATGTGCAGCTGCGCACGGCCTGACGAGATACGGGGCGCCTCTGCTGGGAATTGATGGCCAGCGCTCGGACCGTCACTGCAGTGTCTGCATCTACATGTGTGGCGGGGTTTTGTTTTCTCACAGGAAGTCTATCGGGCCTTTTATTTGGTACGTCAGTCTTTGTGACACGTCGTCCCACACCCTTTGTGTAGCGCTGTTCTCAACACCACCCTGCTCGCCCGTGACCTCGTTCGTCTCGGTCGCAGGGAGGCACCGCTGATGAGCGTCACGTTGTGTGGCACTTGCGACGACACCTCCGTCTCGGCCACGTTCCAATGCGTTGAGTGCAACGACTACCTGTGCTACACGTGCGCCTGCGCTCACCGACGCATGCGCGTCACGCGCTCGCACACGGTACTCTCCGCGGGCGGACGCCACACGAGCCGCTGTTCGCTGCACCAGGCCGTCTACACCATGGTCTGCAGCACGTGCGAGCTGCCACTCTGCTACGCGTGCGCCATGGACCACGCCGAGCACAGCCTCGACACGCTGGACGGCGCGGCCACCATGGCGCAGCAGCGCACTCGCACCACCCAGCAGGAGGCGCAGGCGTTCCTGGCGGCGCTGGCGGAGGCGCGCCACCGTGCTGTCTCCACAGCCGAGCTGGTGCGCGAGCGGGCGGCGCGCGCCCAGCTGGACGCGGCGGCGGCTGGCGACAAGCTGCGTGTCGCTCTGGCGGCCTGGCAGCAGCGGCTCAAGAAGAAGGCGGCTGCCGTGTGCCAGCTGAAGGTGGCGCGCCTGCACCAGCAGTCTGAGCAGCTGGACCAGCTGCGCGGCCGCGTGCTGGTGCTGCTCGAGCAGCTGACGGCGGCCGGCGGCGGCGAGGGAGACGCCGAGCAGATCGTGCGTGGCCTCACTGCCGACCACCAGCTGCACCTGATGATGACGCAGGCGCAGCTGACGCCGGCCGAAGACGCGGCGCTGCGCTACGTGCCGGCGCCGGCAGCCGCCGTCGAGGCGCTGCTGCGCGCCGCCGGCACCGTCGAGACGGCCGGCTGCGGCGCCCAAAGTCTGCTGCTGGAGAGCGCCGCCATACCGGTCGTCGGCCGGCCCTACCAGCTGGTCGTGCAGGTGCGCGACCACTACGGCGACGAGCGGCGCGCCGGCGACGACCGCGTCCAGGCGCGCGTCGTCACGCCCGACCGCCGTCTGCTCAGCTGTGACGTACAGCACCTGGCTGCCGGCCGCTACCGCGCCGCCTTCGTGGCGCGCGCCGCCGGCGAGCACACGTTCAGCGTGACGGTGAACGGCGAGCACCTGGCGCACAGCCCGTGGACGCGGCGCGCCATCTCGCCGCGCCGTCTCTCGTCGCTGGGGCCGGTGCGGCTGACGGTGGGTTCGGAGGGCACCGACCCCGGCCAGCTGTGCCGGCCCTGGGGCGTGGCGTTCGGCGCCGACGGACGTCTGGTCGTCTCCGACCGCAGCAACCACCGCGTGCAGGTGTTCGCCGCCGACGGCCGCCTCCTGCTGGCGTTCGGCGGCCCCGGCTCGAAGAACGGCGAGCTCAACCGGCCGGCTGGCGTCGCCGTCGACTCGGCCGACCGCATCATCGTCGCTGACAAGGACAACCACCGCGTGTGCGTGTTCACTGCCGGCGGCGAGTTTGTGCTCAAGTTTGGCGACAAGGGCAACCGTCTGGGCATGTTCAACTACCCGTGGGACGTGGCGTGCAACGCGCTAGACCAGATCGCCGTCACCGACACGCGCAATCACCGCGTGCAGCTCTTCTCGCCGGAGGGCCTGCTTCTGAAGAAGTTCGCGCAGGTTGGTTGGTAGCGAGGGTGTGTGTGTGTGTGGGGGGGGGGGGGGTGACATTGCGGGCTGTGTCCGGTCCTGACCTGACCTGACACGGCTTAATCCTGGTCTAGCCCTGGCCTAACCTGATGTGTGCCGTCCCGTCCTGTCCCGTTCCCTTCCGTTCCACCTGATTTGACCTGTGCTGTCTAGTCAATTCCGCTCCTGTTCATTTTGTTTTTGTTCTATTCAGATCTGTTCTCTTCTGTTTAGTCGCTCCTGGTTTCTGACATTGCTGCAATAACGATACTAATTACTCTGAACAATAAGAGAAAATTGTTTACAAACAGGGCATGCAGTCGTGTCCTGTCCTGTCTTCCTCATGTTGCCCTGATATTGTACGTTTATGCGAAATAATTTTCGAGCTATTGGTTTGAGAATGCAAATGCATCCATACCCGTGGTTTCTGTCAGGGATGCAAATGCATCCATACCCGTGATTCTGTTGGCTGGGTAGCCTACATCGCCTTCAGTAAGAGGGCAAGCGGTCCTGGCATGTGGGCGTGAAGGGTGTGACGGCCGGCCTGTGACCGGTGCGGCCGGCGGCAGGACGGCGCCGACTGGAAGGAGCTGGACTCGCCGCGCGGCCTCACCTTCCACCCGGACGGCAAGCTCTACATCACCGACTTCAACAACCACCGCATCGTGGCGCTGGACCCGGAGACGGGCAAGATGACCTACCTCTGCCGCGAGGGCACTGAGCCCGGCCGCCTTCTGCGACCCCAGGTTAGACGGTCGCCGCCAGGCGGGCGGTCGTCAGGGCCGGCGAACGTCCAGCACGCATGTCTGGGGTTTGGCTCGGCATGGTATTTGTTTGCGGGGGGGAGGGGGAAGGGGAGGGGATGATTGGGGGTCAACCGGGCGTGGCACGCTGGCGCCATGCTTAGGCCCCCCACGGTCATCGCACGCTTTCTGCATGTGTATTTGGTTACTGATCGCATTATTGTCATTCTTATTATTATTAGTGGCAGTAGTAGTATTATTAGTGTTGTTATTATCATTATTGCTACTATATTATTACATTATTGTTGTTATTCTCATTATCATTACCTGTGATTGTTCACGTCAGTTCAATGTAACTGAAAAGGCCGGCACCGGCGTGCCACATTGTCCGGTGTTGCTACGGGGCCGGTCGTGCCGCCGCGGCGCCGCGGCCGCTGGCGGGACTGGCCGGTGTGCACGTGCGGTGCCTGACCCGAGGCCGCCGGCTGCGCCAGGGCATCGCCGCCGACGACGAGGGCCGGCTGTACGTGGCTGACTGCCGCAACTCACGCGTGCAAGTGCTGACGCCGGCCGGCGAGTGCCTGATGAAGCTGGGCGAGTACGGCAGCCGGCCGGGCCAGTTCGACCAGCCCCAGGGCGTGGCCGTCGGCCCGAGCGGACAGCTGGCAGTCGTCTGCCTGGAGAATCACCGCGTCCAGCTGTTCTGAGCGGTGGCCACGAGCGCGGCGGCGCCGCCCGGACGGAGCGGTCGCCGCCGCGCCATTTTCCTACGGCTGATGCCGAGTGCATTCGAACGTATGTACCTCCATTTGTACGGGTAACAAGTTGGGTGGTTTGGTTTGACGGGAGGGACCGCGTGGGGGGCGCCGCGCCGCCCTCGCCGGTACAACGACGTCTCAGGAAACAAGACAGGGTCGAAGTCCGCGCGCGTCGCGTGCGTGACGTGGGAGTGTGTGTGTATATAGACGGCCGGCTTTCCGCCGGTCGCTGGCGGGCCGCCGGCCGTGACGGCGGGCCGGCGCCGCTCTGTACAAAGCGCGGTCCGAGACCGGCTGTGGTCCGGGCCGGAAAGGACGGGTGCGGCATGTTCGCCGTGGGCGGTCGTCTGCCGGCCGCGTGGCCCGCCGAGCCGCCACCGGGCCAAGGGTCGACGATACGGGTACCTTGGTTTACAAGTAAACAGGACGAGTACCTGGCGCCGGTCGCCGCGCTCGCGGCCGGCGTCTCTGAGACGTCGGCGCCGCCTCCAGCCGCGCAAGCAGTTCCTGCGTCCGGGAGCGTGCGCCGCGCGCCGCCCGGTCGGACCGTCTGACGGGCTGGGGCGCCGCCGGGGGCACCGCTGCCCCCGCCGCCGTGAGACGGGCCCCAGCGGAGCGGTCCGCGCCGCGCGCCGCCACTGGCGCTGACGGGTGACGGCCCGGGCGTCTTCGCCCGTCTGGCACCGCGCCAGCGACGTAAACGCGTTCTTCTGGTTTTCTCGGTGTGTAGCGCGGGCTGTATTTGATTGATCGCTCTGGAGAAGCCGTGGTCCGTGAGGCTATCGCTCGTCTTCGGGGGCAGGGGGCGGGGGGCGCACCAGCACTAGCGGCTCGTCCCGGGCTGAGAGCGGGTCGGGGCCTCGCCCGGGCGTGCCGTGTGAGAGCGGGCCGCCCGGGCGCCCGCGGGCCGTGCCTCCTGCGGCTGTGCGCAGCGAAGCCGGCGGGGCCGGGTCGGCGGCCGGCCTCGGTCGGCCTCTGACGCCGTCCCCGCCGGCGCTGGTAGGGTGCAAGCGTCTGCGTTGGTGAACGACTACGGGTTCCTGTGGACGCTTGGTGAGCGCGCGGCGGAGGAACGCCACGGAAGGGCGGGCGTAGAGAGCGTGGTCCCAGTGCAGTGGCGTCGGACGCGCTTGTCGCCGTTATTTAGGGGAGGTGCGGAAATCTGGTTTCCTGATCACGGGTCCGTGTGGAAGATTTAGTTTTATGGATGCCAGCGGTTTTACGGGCTAATAATCTCGGTAGCGAATCGTGTGCACGCGCGCGAGCTGGCGGTGTGGGCGCTGCCGAGGCTTGTGACGACCTCAGGGGCTGTGTGGCGGCACCGCAGGCGCGCACCGGCTGGACCTCAGGTCTGCCTCCGTACTCAGGGCCGGGTATAACCTCAGTTCGCCTCTCAGGCCGTGGCCGCGCACCGGGACCGCAGGTCGCCTGCGCCGGCCGCTCCGTGTTTTCGTGTCATGGCATGACCTCGGTCGCCTCTCAGGGTGTGGTGTTTACACGCACGTTCACGAACTCAGGGATGAGAAGCCATCGGTCGCCGACAGTAGACATGTAGAAGGATCCAATCCTTACCAATAGGCACAGCGCCACCTGCCAACCGGACGGTAAGCCGCAGCTTCGTATGCCGCCGGGGCGAGGCCCTGCAGGCGGGAGCTCCGCGCTCGCTCGATATGATTGTATAGCTGTCCTTGTTTCATTTCTGTCTTCTCACTGCTTCTGCGGGCTCACGGGGTTGTGTGCGGCCTTTTGCCCGTCTCCGGGCCGGTCCGGTTTTTAGACGCTTTTCAGATGAAAACCTCGTCTGTTGGACGTCTTATTACACCTCACGGGGAACTCGATCAAGATGCTAAGGTGAAACATGTGCTATATGCAGATAGGTTTAAACAGTGGAAAATGACTTCGATTCCGTCGACGTTCCCGCTGTGTTTATAGATGTTGTTATCTTTCCCTTTAACCTCTCAGCTTGTGCGTGCGAGATTACCAATAAAGCTTCTTCTTCTCTTTGCATTGTATTTTGTGTAGATTGATGTTCAAAGTTTCCTGCGGGAAAACGACCATGACCAGCGGAACGTACGATCCGAATCTGTTTCATCCGTTTTCAACCGCGTACTCAACAAGCCAAGGAACAGCTGCTGAGTGGCGACGCAAGCTCGTGTGAGATGCACAAGCAGCCGGAATATTGTGAAAAGAACAGAAAATATCCCAAAATGGAGTGCAGCCATCTGCCGCCGTTACCTTGCTGGCAGTGAATCAGTTCACCAAGATGTCGGAGAAAAAGCGAGTCTCTTTGAACCTTCGTAATACTGACTACGTTAAGGTAGACCGGCCTGGCATGGCGCCCAGCTGCTGGATCGCACGCGTCGTCAGCTCATGCGGAGGGCTATGGCTCAAGTGGGCAGGCCTTAATGCTGCGCGCGTGGCGGGCCGGTACCAAGTGGGGACCCACAACGCCGACGGGGGGGGGGGGGGGGGGGGGCGGGGGAGGGGAAGGTTGCACAGCTCAGAGGGACCCAAGTGATCTGGTTTTCTCAAACTCATCGGGTGCCGCTTCTTTTCGCTTCAAGGGATGTTCGAAAACAAAATTTTCCTTGTAAAAACCGCTTAGCCTTTTTTCAAAGTCTAGAAATGCCACTATTCCCGCCACTATTCCCATAACTTACGGGGCCATGGCCCGATTGCCTCCTCCCCACCCCCTCCGATCCGCCCGTGGCTAGCACCGAGGCCGTGCATGAACATGGCAGAGCTACGTGTTAGAAGCTGCTATTTGGGCCGGCATGCTGAGGCCGGCGAAACGCGCGGCTGTCGTGAGGGCGGTGACAGGGGACTCCACATTGGCGTAACAACCAAAACTCCTACCGACAGGTGCGGCCCATATCCTGACGTAATTTCTACTGCCAATACTTAACACGACATGAGTGCCACGCGACAAAACTTCTGCAAAAGATATTCCTATTGCAATAAACCGTATACGCGACATTAGTGCTCCACGACGAAACTTATGCTTCGAAAACTTATATCCGTCATCTGCTCTGCCGTAAAAACCTATACAGCGATTGCTTTTGCACATCATTTCTACTTCAAAGACTTACGGTGGAGTCTTTGCGGTAGAAGTAATCACTTTGTGTTTGCGGGATAAGTTTTGTCGTCCGGCACTCAATGTGTATGATTTTTTGCATTACGAGTAGTGTCGGGTGAAGGTAAATACTAAGCTTTTGCAGTAGATGTAATGACGTATATAAGTTTCTGAGGCGAAGGTCCTGTAGTGTAGTGCTCATGTTGTGCCTAAGTCTGCAGTTGAAGTAACACCGCGAATAAGTGAAGTCTGTGCAAGTCTTCGCAGCATAAGTAATATCGTGTATACCTGATGCAGCACTGCTGTCGGTTAGAGTTTTTCCGTAACACTAATGTGACACCGTGCGAGGGGCTGCACCACCCATGCGCGTACACCTTGTCTACGTGTAGTTGCCGATGCTTACTCCGTGATGGGTCCGGCGCACTTGCTAAGGCTTTCATAGAGTTGTGATTCAAGCTGACCAACGACCCCGTCATCCGCCGCGCCTAGACGCAGGCTTGCTTCAGGTTACTACCCACGATCAAATATTGCCATTACCTATGCATCAGCGTTTCCTTGCCAGCCGTGCGGCGCTCGATCATTGGTGGAGCGAGAGAACGTGGGCGGGCGTCGAACCATCTCAAACACGAACGTTTTGGTCGCCGTCTTACCGTCTCGCTGTTTTCCGGCGCGTCGACGCCTGAGGTTATACCCACAGCTTGCCGTGAAAACGTCTCATCGCCGGGAGTCAACATCCTTATATTGTCAATATCAGTGTGGGTAAGTCCCGTCGACTGAAACACCGCGAGCAAGTACGACACGTCTCATCACAACCGCCCAGCAACAATTAACGCAGCTGCCCACTGCGTTCGGTGTTCGTGGGTACCGGGGCTCATCTTGCATAAATATAGGGCCCAAACCAGGTTCAGCATTGGACAACAGTTAGCGGAACGAAATTATGTTTTAAGACAACGCTTGGGTGGGCTCTTGTGAGTAATTCCGAGCTGTTTATTCCGAAGACCGGGCGGGGTGAACTGGAAACCCACCGGACACCAACCCAACAAGGCGCCTCCTCCATTGAGCGTTGGGCCCGACCATCCCGCTGCGGTGGGAGCGGCGCCAGGTCTGGAGCACTAAGTAATGTGCCACCGCCAGCGGGCTCACCCGATGGGAGCCGCGTACCGGGGGCGCGCGGGAAAGACAGCCCGACCGGCCCCGCACGCCAGGCGCCATCTGACACGGCGCGCAGGATCGGTTCACGTCCATCCGACAAGGTAACGCACAAATATCACACGTCTGCGCACCAGCCCAGCGGCCAGCACGCGCGGCGTCTCGCCTGCGCTGCTCACGGTCGTCGGACGCCCAACACCGACCGCTGGCCCGCCTCCCCCGTCCCTCCCCGCCCCGCGCCAGGCCGGGCCGCTACGGAGCCGCGGCGGCCACGTTCATCACGCCCGCCATCATTTTGTAGATCTTCTCCTCGTTGTAGAGCACGGAGGCGCGCACGGCCGAGATCTTGTCCAGCTGGTCCTGGATGCTCTGTTCGTACTCGGCCATGGCCGCCTTCAGCGGTTCGATCGAGCTGTTGGTCGTGCTGCGGACAGCCGGCCGGCGTCAGCGGGCCACATTCGGACCGGGACAAATCCCGCTGTGATGATGGCTGGGCGGAAACATGTGAACCCTTACGGTATGACTACTCTTGCGGTCGGTACAAGTTTTAATCAGAGTTGGTCCATTTGGCAATACACCTGGCACGGAGTGCGACGGAAAATTGGCCGGGCGGGTAAGGAGAGGTGCAATACTCCAGTGCAGCTCGAGCACGCCGATTACCTGTGGTTTATAGAGGGGCTGAAGGGTGGACCCGACCCGACCCTTCGCTCCACCTCACACAGGTCATGTGAAAGGTTGCATGCAAAACGACGGCGCGCGATGGGCCGTGGCGTTTCCAAGCACAACCCTGATCATGAGAAAGCTTAGGCTCGCCACGTCAGCTCAGTCCTGCTAGCCGTTGTCAGCTGGATGCTTCGTGTCTGGTGGCGTTACCGTCCTCCGCCGTTACCCCATAACGGATGCAGGCCGTGGTTTCTATCCGTTGGTTTCAATACCTAAGATCGGGTGTTGTCTAACAAATACACGCACGACCAAAGCGCTGTCGAGATGGAATGATTGCAGGAAGAATTAACACCAAAGATCCTCAAAGCAGTTGGCACCTTTTTTAGTATAGGGTCTGGACATCCCTTTCAGGCAGAAGCGGGTTCAGAACACATCGGCCTCTTAGCCGCGTTTGCAGCTTCACACCAAAATGGCGAAAGGTCAACGTCTGGGGGACAGCCACAGGCGATAATTTTGGGCAAGCCTTTACGTTATATTGACTCATTTCTCCTGGTGCAAGCAGCGAAATGCTACTCTACTCGGCTCATCTCCTCCGATACAAAGCAAGAGGGAAGACACACATACGCGCATGCCAAACCCCAATCTTCACACATACCGACAGGCCCACGCCCATGAACGTAACCTTGACGGTGATACGGAATGCAAGGCGGGATCATTGCTGCAATGGCGACTACCCGGCTCTGCAGTTGCATCAGGCTGATTTCATCACCGACGGGGGGGGGGGGGGGTTACCCGACTCCTCTGGCTTGACGAAAGAAATGGAATCGACGCGAGCCACCGCCGCACCGTACTCACTCCATTTCTGACCGGATCTGCTGAGTCATGGTCTTATTTTCGTTCCTCCATTTGTCGAGCTCCCGCTGCATAGAGTCCACGTCCTCTTGCAAGAAGTCCATCATTTTACCTGCAAGAAAAACGAGTCGGTCGCTGCTGCCACCCGTGTCCTGAACTCGGATCGGTTCCGAAAAACCCTACTGACGCACACCATTTCTCCGACAGGGGCACACGACCACAAAGCATCATTCTCAATGCACGACGCAACACAGTCCCCTCGCAGGCCTCCCTGCCTGAGGGCGCGAATTCATCCCTACCGGCGCGCCGTCAAACGGCCCGCCGCACGCCTCCCCCGCTTGCCAGAACACGCGGGCCGTCAGCAGCTGCCAAAACCTCAAAGCAGTTTGCGATGAAAGCGCGATACCGCGCAAACCACAAGGAGCGAGGAAGGGGGGGGGGGGGGGAGGGGGAGGGAAGGCGTCACGCGGCGCCCGAACGCCGCCGTCCCGGCGACGCACCGAGCGGATTGGCCGACTTGGTGACTCTCTGGATGGCCTCCCGCAGCCGGGCCACCTCCTTGCGCACGGCGTCCTTGTCCCGACTCTTGCCCTTGTCGGCGCCCGAGTCACGCTCCTGCACACATAGGGCCGGCGGCGCTGTGACGGCCAGCAGACGGTGGCTGCGTACGCTACATGCGTGCCAGTGCCTGACCTGACACCACAGGGGAGCGTGGTGGCCCGCACACGACAGCCGGCTCACGGCGTGGGTACATGCTAACGGCGGCGAGCCGACAACTGCAGTCGCCCGGTCTCGTCTAGGTCATGGTCGTCCACTCAGTACGCGGCGAGGCACCGCAGGGTGCCGCACCAGCACCGTTGGCCCTCACCAATGGCACAACATCCATGTGCGTAGACACGACTTCTGCGACATGTCTCCACCCACACATTATCAGGCTGTTGCTACATTTTCTCCCGAATCAGCGCCAGCGGGTTACACACCAACTCCATCCGTACTGAGCGGGCATGCTGTGCCGCACGGCTGCTATGTAAGGCGGACCGGGCTCAGCGGACCTTGCCGAGCAGGGTCCGCTTCGGCTTTCATTGGTGGGTATCGTTTTGCTGGGTATTGGCCCATCCAACAATGTTTGCCCGTCCTTTAATAGATAACCCAAATCACCACTAAGTCTTCCGCAACCACAGCAAAGCAAAGAGTGCTGTTTCGGAAGAATATTGTCCCCGTCCCCCGTCCTCACGAATTTTACGAAACTCCGCTCATAGCGGTTTCTGGGGCCGTGCACGGACCATGTTCGGCACAGCGCACCAACGATTTTCCGAAGGGTCTGTTCGCACGAACGTCTTTTCGGCGTGTCGGACGCGCGCACTGGCCCGGGACAGAAACCGTGTGCCTGGCTACGTCATACTTGTGCTGAATGCGCTATACTTCTTAGCAGCTACCGCCACTGCATAGTATTTGCTTCCTTCTCACACTTCCCGTGTGGTCACGCTGTGCAATCGCTTACGGGAGGCCCCGTGGAATTTGAGCCGCATGCTGGAATGTCTAGCACGCCACTCACCCCCTACTGGATCTCCATTTTAACACCGTCGGATATCATGAGGGTCCGTGCGGGGGGACGGATATCTGAGATGCCAAACTGATGCTCCGTGAGGAAGTACCGGGAGTAAGCTGACAATTTTGGATGCGCAATTCAAACAACAGCAAGTACTGCTGTCAATGTGTCAGGTGGAGCGGGGGTACGCCACGTTCCCGGGGGCGTGATGGTGCTCCTGTAAGATCCCAACGGACCAGCTTACCTCATACTCCAGCCTTACTGGATCCTTGTAGGCGTAAAAAGTACGACACAAGTAAATAAAGGGACAACAGGCGATTCAAGTCCCAAATACCACGCCCGACACACTTCCACAACATAGCATCCTCAGCCAAAATAGGCGCGTTTACCAGGCTATGGTATGCCAGAATGACCTGCGCCGCCAAACGACAACAGTATAACTATATGATAAAGCTGGTAACAAACGCCTGGTTTGCTTTAAAGCATAATAACCACGTAACATCTCTCATTACAACAGTTAACGTCCCTGTTCAGCCTCTCTTAGCGATCGATACATGTAAAGACCCACTTAACTGCATGGCGAAAAAGGGGGTACAACAGATTAGTAGTGCACCCCATGGGTAAAAGCACCATACGGCCCTCACCAAGCACGTCCGAACAAAGGCAAGCAGGCAGGCACGCATCGAAGACGGATCAGCTGCATTCTGAACCAGCTCACGAATTTCCTGGATAAAACAGCCCTCAGCAATATGAAAACGCTGATCACCACTTATGCCGACCGCAGATATCACCATTCTGATGCGGTCAATTCAGTCTCACTTACGATCTGCGTCTTGCCCTTAAGCTCTTCCTCCATGGACTTCTTGGTCTCGAGGATCTGCGAGACGAGCAGGCCGTGTTCGCCCTCTTCAGCCTGCTCGGCCAGGTTCTCTTCCCCCTTCATCATCTCGGCCAGGCCCTGGCGGCGGCGGTGGTGTACAGTACGGCCCCACGCCTCAGCGGGCCACGGAGGCACGGCACGACTCGACACAACACTGATGGTCGGAAGACCGGACACGACGGCCAGCCTCACGCGGGCTATACCAACAGTGCGGTACCACAAGGCTCGGTTTTGCCACAGCGCCGCCCAAGACATGTCACTGTACAGCACCATTCTACCGCCTTCCCGAACTCCCCGAAACGGAGCAAAGGCAACGACCATGCAGCACTATTGAAGACGGCGCAGGCAACGGGACTGCCACTCGACACTGCCACCCCCCCCCCCCCTCCCCCCTCCCATCCCCGTTCTCCAGCGCACGCCAGCACGTAAACGTGAAGGAGGGCAAGGGAACAGGGCCATCGTCCCCCAGGCGAGGTCAGCCAACCGACCGCCTCCCGCGCCTCCACCGCCGGCACCAGCCCCCACACTCCCAACCGCCGACGCCGCTCGCTCACTGGATCCGGCGCTGCCTTCTTCTCCTCCACCACGAAATGGTCGTCGTCGTCGTCGTCCTCGTCAAACATGACGATGGGTGCGGCCGAGCCGGCGCCGCCGACCGCCGCCGCGTCCTCCAGCTGCTGTTCGATGGCGGCGCGCGTCTTAGGCCGCGGCGCCGCCGGCCGCGCGCTGCTGGGCCGCGCCGTGCGCGCCGTTCGCGGCCGCGGTGCGGAGAAGCCCGTGCCGCCGTCGCTGGCCGGCCAGGGACGGCGTCAGGCGGCGCCGCGGAGCCGGGGGTGCGAGCGGGACCCGACCGCTCCGGTGATGACGCACGTGTCTCGTGACCGAGGTGCGCTGATTCGGACACGCACGGTCGTGGGATAAATTATAATGTGGCGTGGCTTACATTAAGGCCGCTTACAATACTTCTACTGCGTGATGATGACGAAAAACATCTTTATAGCTGCGGGTGTGGAATGTTGAGTGAATATCCGAGGTAAAACAAGTGAAATAATACAAGCCCAGAGGCATATAAATATCTGCGGAAATGCAAGACACGGCGATATCAACAGGGACGGAAGGAGAGACGAGACCGTGAGACCTAAGTTATCACCGCCTCACCTGAGGGGCACCGTAGTGTCCATAGTAATGTCACCCTCCTCCTCGGGGGCGCCCCCGCCACCCTCGCCGCCTTCTCCGGTCTCCTTCGCTTCCATCTGCAGCTCGGGCTGGGCCTCCACCGCCGGCTCCGATCCCGTAGCAGGGATGTCCGCCATGATGTCCTCAAATTTGGGGATCTTCTTCTCTGAAAACAAAAATGCAGCGTGAGGTGCTGCATTGCTGCCAGGTGCCGCGTCCACTGAAACGACCCGGCTAAAAAGCATAGGCCACATGTAGTAACACGCCTTCAAAAGAAAACCTCCGGTTACGCGCATCACACGCGACCTTTTGACGAAAAATCAGCATCATGAGTTTAGAGTTCCTATGCCGCTAATAATCAGCCTTCAATACGCCATGAGGCACCGTAAACTACTTTCTCAAGCAAACATTGGTGACATTGTCAAAACTGGAGTTTTGACAGCTTTAAAATCTTGACAGAGCCATAGTTTTGACAAGAACAGTAATGATTGTTTGCCAATGCCGTTCAAGCAGTACCCGCTGGTAAACTGAAGGTTGATTAATGTTAACGTAAGCTTAAAACCTTAAATGCCGAAAATCTAGGAGCTCAGGGGACTTATTTCATATGTACGAGAACAAATATTCCTTCGTTGCTCTGAAGTCCGGCTTACTGCCCAGAGATCAAGCATGAGTTTCGACACCATCGCGACACGCTGAGGTAATAAAAACACCGTAATTTTACCCAAGAGGGCCAAAAGACGACCCCATGCATCAAGCATTGAAAAGCGCCACATCAGTAACGAAACCAGACACTACGTTAAGAGGCTATATCGCGAATGGCAATCCTCGCTGAGAATCTGTCGATACTTTGGTAGCTACGACGCCACAAGTTATAAAATTAGTTGTCCACCCAGCCCAGTTCACATAGATGTCTGAAGTCAGAAAAATAGATTTCTGCTCGCAAATCGGCCAGCATCCAGGTTGTATCCACTGGATAGAGCTGAAGCTATGTACATGCACTGGCAACAGCAGGGAGCCATGCTTTCCGTGCGGTGCTGCAAGTGATGCAATGCTCTCGGTCCTGTACTGTGCCCAATACGGCCCCAGTCTGATGCCCGTGCTCGCCACGTTCTCCCAGTCCGACACTGTGTTCGATACATTGTCTAGGTCCGGTGCTGGGCTTGCTACATCTTCTCGGTCCCGTGTTGTGTTCCGATACATTATCGTGGTCCTTTCAGTCGTGCTGGGGCAGCTTCCCACGTTGTGGTGCCAAGCTGGGGTCGTTTCTCACAGCGCGGTGTTGTGCTCAGTCAGACATTCGCGGTGCAATGCCGTACTGGGGCAGTTTCTCAAGGTGTGGTACCGGGCTAGGATCGTCTCTCACAGCGCGGTGCTGTGTTCGGTCAGACATTCGCGGTGCAATGCCGTACTGGGGCAGTTTCTCACGGTGTGGTGCCAGGCTAGGGTCGTTTCTCACAGTGCGGTGCTGTGTTCGGTCAAACATTCACGGTGCGGTGCCGTGCTGGAGACGTTCCTTAAGGCTCGGTGCCGTGCTGGAGCCTTTCATCCAGGCTCGGTGCCATTCTGGAGCCTTCCCTCCAGGCTCGGTGCCGTTCTGGAGCCGTTCCTCACGGCCCGGTGCCGTGTTGGACCGTTCCTCATGATCCGGTTCCGTGCTGGGGCCGTTTCTCAGGACGCGGTGCCATGCAGACCCACACCACTCCGGCCTGGCCGGTTTGGTCACCTTCATCCTCGTCCTCCAGAAAGGTGCCGGCCCGACTGGCGGTGCGGGTCGGTCGGACGGAGCCGGGCCGGACCGACGCCGGCCGGACCGATGCCGGCCGCACGGAGCCGGGCCGGCCGGAGGGCGGCCGCGCCTCCCGCACCGGCCGCTCGTCCAGCTCGCCGTCGCCCTCGGCCTCGCCGGCCGCTGGCCACAGCGTCTCACAGTGAGGTCTCGTCAGTGCCACAGCGCGGCCCCAGCTGGCCGCCACGCGGCACCGCCAGGCTCCCGCCCAACAACACGCAACGCAGACACGCTACATGAACCACAGGAACTGGCCCACCGCCGGTACGCCCACATCAACTGTCACTGCTGACCACATTTATGACGATACATGTATACATACGTATATATATATATATATATACATAAATATACATATATATATATATACATACATATATATATATATATATATATATATATATATATATATATATACACATATATAATATTATAGCATAACGTTGCAAGCATGTTGCATAAAGAACATAAATATTGATTATTGGGCCGCTTTTGCTTTGAAAATAGCTCACCGGACAACCAGAAATTTAGTTCTGACGACGGACGCATGATAGCGTGTAAAAGCTTGCGCATGTGAGAGATAGGGAACATCGTTGATTGAATGTTTTTTTAAATGGTGGAAAAGTTTTTAAGTGACTGAAAATGAATTATAAATATCACTCAGAAGACAATGTAGATCGTATGGGTTGTCCAAAGATGCGTTTGAAACAGGCCGACACGTTTCGTGGGATAAGATCCAAACGACACCACACCAGCACAAAACTACGCAGTCTGAGCGAAAAACAAACGAGGTGACCCATTTGCCGAAGTATGTTACACCAGTTTCTTTGTACCAAGTGCCATCTATTGAAGCAGCGCAAGCGGCGATTAGATGTATTTTAGGTTGTGCACGTAACCAAGCACAGTTTTTCAAAGTACATTTCAGTGTATGTCATTAAACGAATAAGAGTACGCCAATGAAGGGCTCTGAAGAGCCCGAATACATCAAATCCAAAAACAAGAATATTAACTGTCTGATTAGCTGTTTTTAAGATATAACCCATGCCTAGTGCCATTACATTCTCCCCAACCCACTGCTTTATCCACAGGGTCCCAATTTGGCACCCTTTAGACACGATTAACGAAAAATTATATTTCTGTATGCGCTTGTACCAGCAAAAACTTACTCTTTCTTTTTCCCGGTGCCGTCTTTCTTCTTTTTGCCTTTGTCTTCTCCAGCATCTCCTTTTGCGTCTCTGTCAACGCAAAAGACAACCTCCTTCATCTTGGGTCTATCAAATGGGGACTGGTTGTCAGGCGAACCGGTAATGCAAACGTGCCCCTTGGGAAAGTCAAAAATTTTGGAAGCAATAATGAAACAACCGCATTCCGCGTTGCTTAACACCCGAGGCTCAAATAGCGTGCGTTGTGGCGGGAACAATTGGATTACGCGCGAATGGTTCACAAATAAACAACTGCGATATATGGAGAGGAAATCGGCTACTCACTTCTTTTTCTTTGGCTTTTCGCCGTCGCCGGACTTTGACTTTTTACCCTTGTCATCTCCATCATCCTTCTTCTTCTTTTCTTTATCTTTCTTGGGCTGAAAGGTCCGTTACCTTTAATATTTGAGTCACACTATTCAGCCATTTACAGGCAAGACTGGATGATTAATTACAATAAGAACAAATGTGACCAACCGCATGCCAATTTTAAAATTCCAGACACCTGAAAAAGCAAAAGTTAGCAAGCTTCCGTCCCCAATCCATATAGGCATTGTAAGGTTCTTCCCATTCCTCCAAACACACTTTCGAACGCACGCGATATGTATATATATATATATATATATATATATATATATATATATATACAATTAGATCCTAAGATGTGATTATTAGCATGCGGATGATCATTTATTTTTGTGCAATGTGCATCGGGCTAGAAACCTCCGTATACTACAAAAAACGTTATAAATAAATGGGAGGAATAAAACACGACGGTTCTACATGACAAGGATTTCAAGGAATCGGACAAATCTTTAGTAGTGAGTGAGTAATCAATTAATGTTTATACTCGCGCCTACGATTTCCCCATTTGAGAGCGAATCTGGAGGCGGCTACTCCCCCCCCCCCCCAAGCATTTCGCATCCAACTTAACTACAGCATCGGATATACACGACGGGATAGTTGTGCTTCTTCCCTTTACGAATGTACACCATCCCACTTCACTATCCGAGTTTAAATTTTCAGGCCAAAACCTGACCTTTAAGTACCGTCAATCCTGTCCACATGGACGTCTTGGGACACAAACGCATTTACCGTGCATTAGTGAAAATGTTATTCGAAGGCAGCCAGGGCAGGCATCAAAGGAGGCCAGGCAGCCTCTGGTTTCTCTAATGGTGTATACCTTTATGACTTCGGGTCAGTATGCAACGTTCCGGGCCAGGTAGACACGCGCCATTGCCCATCGGGCATATTTTAACGGTCCGAGTTTTCCGTTAACGACTGATGTGCTCGTATTTGCCTGTACTGCTATAAGTCAATGCATGCCATTTTTCATTCTAGAAGGAGCGAGGTCACCTGGGGTCACTTCACGGCCACTCATCTTGACCTTGGGAGACCCTGGACGTAAGATTTACAAGGTCAGCGATGGCATGGGTGCTGTGAGAGGTCCATTAACGCAGCATTTTAGGCGGCTTGAACGACTTGAGCCGGCGTGGTCATGACCTATAAAGACACACCGCTGGAACATTTTTTAATACATTTTGGTTAAAAATAAACATCTTGAGGGTTATTCCGGCGTATTTTGCCACGAGCTGAGCAGTTGCAACCACTCCCTCAAACGAGATAAAAGGAAACCACGAGCATTGATGACGTTCATGATGCAAGTATTCACAGCTTCGGCACCACTGGACGAGAACACTTGGCTGCACAGAGGTAAGGTTTTCTCACGGAACGCGGATTTTCCACAATTTTGTCGTACAAACCTTTGGGAGTGAAGTCATACCACGCCTGTAATCCGACACGGTAGGGAGTTCGCATTTTGATGTCAGATGCAAACACAGGATGGAAACTAAGTCCGCCCAAATCTGATTATGATGCACCAAAACGCCTGAGAGGCATCCGCAGAAAATTCAAGGGGGGGGGGGGGGTCACTCGCTATGCCGACAATGCCTAGCTGACATTTAAACCTTGCGAAGGTTAGTTACATTATTGCTACACCCACACTATTTTATTAGTCGCACGGATAGTGGGGATTAGAATGCATTGCTGTACTTCTCGATCCAATGATATGCGTATTTACGCTCTCAGGCAAAAACCGAACATTCCAGGTCGGGCCAAGCCTGAAAACAATGGCATATTCGCTTATGAGGCATACAACGTAACGTAAGAGCAGCCAGGGCATGCAGTAATGAGACCAATTAGCCTCTATCTGGACTCCTTACTGAAGTATACTGATCACTTCAGGTCAACCAACAACTCTCCACATCAGGCAAGCACACACCAGTCTCCAGGCTTGGCCCCCTTCTGCTCCCTCACACCGCGGAATAGTTGGCTCGTAATTTCACTTCGATGCAGGCCCGAAATGTTTAACCAATGCACGCACGTACTGACACACGCCGCGCTGGCCGCGCCCCCGCGCAACCGGGCGCCTTCGGCCCTATCGAGGCAACCTCCCATCGGGGTCACTTCACGGGCCACGTGAACGGTGGGTGTCCCGCACGCGACCGGGCGGCCTTGGCCCATCGATCGAGGTCACTTCACGAGCCACGTGAACGGTGGGTGTCCCGCACGCGACCGGGCGGCCTTGGCCCATCGATCGAGGTCACTTCACGAGCCACGTGTACGGTGGGTGTCCCGCACGCACCGGGCGGCCTGGGCCCCTCGATCGAGGTCACTTCGCGAGCCACGTGTACGGTGGGTGTCCCGCACGCGACCGGGCGGCCTTGGCCCATCGATCGAGGTCACTTCACGAGCCACGTGTACGGTGGGTGTCCCGCACGCGACCGGGCGGCCTTGGCCCATCGATCGAGGTCACTTCACGAGCCATGCGTACGGTGTGTGTCTCGCGCGCAGCCGTCTGAGGGCTGGCACCGACCAAGACGGGGTCAGCAGGGGCCACGTGTACGGTGTGTGTCCCGCGCGCAGCCGTCTGAGGGCTGGCACCGACCAAGACGGGGTCAGCAGGGGCCACGTGTACGGTGTGTGTCCCGCGCGCAGCCGTCCTGAGGGCTGGCACCGACCGAGACGGGTCAGCAGGGGCCACCAGAGTCGGCCGGCGCCAGACACGCCCATATGTGGCAACGTGGAAAGCCGCGTTTCAACCTAACCGAACTAGAGCAAGGAACGAGACGCATCAGTCAAGCCACCTATATTTGAAATGTCCGATCTCAGCTGCTGCGTTTGGTAAATTATCTGTCGAAACCTGCAGTTAACCGCGAGATAACCGTAAGCTTCTTCCACCCACACTCGCTAAAACATTACCAGTGTGTTATGACAGACAACCCAACTTCCGAAAAAGTGAGGACTTGTGAATCGCCGAAAACCTTATGCGATCTAAGCCCTAATGACGCTCTGATTTGCAGCCGAACTATAATTAACGACATCTAACGTTCCCACGCATTATGCATGCACAAATACGTGATACACGCATATCAATTTGGTAACTTTCGGCGCTTAGGTATCACGTGGCTCACAGCATATACCTGTGTCAACTCTCTTTTACAAGGTTTACAAAACCAATGCAAAGGTTTGGCACCCAAGAATGACATCTGCGTTCCCCAACCAGAGGCACTCATTCGTGAACGCTGATGGCAACGTGACAACACTTCAATTTAGTGCCCCTGGCGATGTTAGTCTCTCCTTATCCATACGACGAAACGCTCGTGTCTTATTGCCGACGTCCTTGGGGTACGCACATGCCATTTTAGGGTGTTGTTTTTGCACTTGTCTATTTTAAGCCAAATGTGAGCATATATTGTACACGATCATTCAACGCTTCTGTAAGATTTTGTGGTTTCTGGCACGACCACGTGCTACGAGCTTCATCAGAGCTCACTACCAATTGCCTGCATTTTCAGTGACGCACGAGATACAGCACAGGAGACTCTGTTCTGAGCTCTCTAGCACCACGACGCATTCCAGGAGCTATTTTGCGAGCCGTTACCTACCAGGTCCGGGGTCATTAGCGTCACTATGTGACCGGTGTCCCAGCAAGGCTGGAGCATCATTACGCGTGGGTGCAAGCGTACATACCTTCTTATCTGGTGACTTATTCGTGGCATCAGAGAGGGATGCGCCACCCTTGTTTTTCTTGGGAGAGCCGTCTTTAGATTTCTTGCTTTTGTCTTTATCCTTCTTTTTTCCCCCAGGTTTTTCGCCATCCACAACCTTCTTGACGGCATCGGACGTCTTTGTCTGAGGAATAGAACATAAACTATCAGGGTTCAATACCGGTGAAAACGAAAAACTTCCATCTCCATCGATTGTATATTTGTGTAATCAGATATCACGTGATTACTTACGCTGGCTACGTTTTATCGCAAACTAGGGTTCGGTTCCCTTCTCTTGCGTCACGCCGATTGTCGCAGAGTTCTGTTCGATACATATAAAGGCCGCTACCAAATGAAATCACCAATGGTCCCCGCCACTGGCTACTGATTACCGACGCCCTCTTTACCTTATCCTTCTTTGCCATTTTCAACGTCCACTTGTTGACACCCGTTGACGAACACTTATTGACTGAAAATGGCCGTTGACTAGGCAAATATAAGCACGTAAAACTTCACCACGTGCAGCCACGCATAAGGCACTTCCGCGGACGGAGTTTCAGCCTAATTCACACGCTAGGCTGACGTGGAGCGAGCTATACATCAGGCCTTGGAAAGATCTGGAAACAGCACGGTTGGTCCAGATACACTGTTTAGGGCTTTCCGAAACGCTCCAATATAGTGCAAGGTAAGTTAGATATCAACTGACTGTCTGCCTCCCTCCAGTTCCATCATATAAGAACGGTCCGCACCGCAGAAAAGACGAACGTTTCACGTCACCTGATGTTGTGATGGGGCGCGACCCACGTAATGCCAGCATCTCGGTTAACTGCGTTTGTGGAGGTTAAACACATAATAATATGAATAAAACGTTTTGTCCCTGAAATGCATGCTTCGTTCTTTTGTCAGCGGCTTTTATAAACTACCTCCCTGAAATATGCACATCAACGAAACGAAACCACGCGGAAAGAAAAGGGGAACTGAATTAATGTGGACGGTTAAAAATCGAGGAACGGACGTCATATTAATGAAATTAGAACTATCCAAAGTTGTTACACGCCATGAAACATTTCATAAACCTACAGCACGCTAAAATGTGTTCTTCAGCAGAAAACTTAGACTTGTGTCACTCATTTTTTAAAAATCCTGCATATCCCTCTAACGTTAGCTATGCATGATGCGACTATGATGGGGAAATGAGGCATTTCAAAGCCATGCCATCAAGGTTCATGGTATCTCCTCACGCCGCTTCGAAAATTTATCTATGAAGATAATTGAGTTACAACTGTTGGCCGCTGAATCATTTCCCGCGTCATTTCCAACATTAAGTCACCGTAGCGTCCCAAATGGTTTCGCAGCTTTGTTTTTCATGGCCTGTAGGCGATAAAATGCCCCGAAGAACGTTAGTCATCCTATATTAGTAACGCCCTTTCACCCTTGACGGCTGAGCGTTTTTCACGATTGCCGGACAAAAAGTTATGGAAAAAGTTAAATGGAAAAAGCCGAACGTAAACAGCCGAGGACCAAAAGCCAAAAGGGAGAAAAGCAGAATCGGAAAAGTCGAACCACAAAAGGTTGAAAGGGATAGATGTCGACAGGGGTATAAGTCGACGGGATAAAAGTCGAGTTGGAAAAAAACTTCAAAAGTCAAAATGTTGACGGGGATCAAAGTTAACCGGTGATAAACGTTGCAGCGTAATAAGTCAAGACAGAACATCGAAAGGGATGGATGTCAACTGGCATGAATGAAAACGCTAATAGTCAAAAGGATTTAACGCGTACAAGTTGTAAGATATTGACATGCAGTGTGAGGGTTGAATAAAACTGTGGCTACAGGGAAATAGACGGGACTGGATGAGACTGAATGAGACTGGATGGGACTGGATGGGAACGGACGGGAGCAGGCGGGACCGTACAGGAGCAGATCACACCAGGAGGGACCGGGCGACAACGGCCGAGATGGGCCCGGATCGGATGGAACCGGACAAGACCAAAAGGAACTAGATAGGACGGGGCCTGGCTGAACCAGACGGCACCAGACGGGATCAAGCGTGTCCGCACGCGATCAGACTGGATCGGATACCACTGGATCTGTTTGAAAGGGACCACACAGAACAGAACGGGACCCGACGGAACCAGGCCAAACCAGACGGAACCAGACGGAACCAGGCGGGACCAGACGGAACCAGACGGGACCAGGCGGAAGCAAACGAAACCGGGAGAAACATGACGAGGTCAGACGGGACGGGGCAGAGCATGAGCATGATGAACGGGCCCGGATGCGACCGCACGGGTCTGGAAGCAATCAGACAAAACTGAACGGAACCGAACAGAATCAGAAGCGACCGGACGGAACCGAACCAAACAGGACCAAACCGGACTAAACCAGATGTCCTTAGCTTATCGTTTGCTTTTAGTTCACTAGTCAACTGAGGTAGGGATGGAAGGGGGCTGTAGCCCCCCCCCCCCCCACCCCACCCCCTCACGAACTGAATAAAGAACTACACCCGTGTATTCAGCGTCATGTGTTAAGAGTTCTTATGCTGAGTTATCGACATTTAATATGCCAGGAGGCATGGTTGGGCGATATTAAAGAGCAAACGTTAATTGTATTGTCAGTACTCGGTGCTTTAAGCAAGGCTTGCGATCACCATATGTCACCATGAGCACACACTCGTGCTTCATGGACATCATGTCGGCTATTGTCACGCTGAGGTTTTCTTCTCTTGAATCTTCGTTGTTGTTGTTTTTTTACTTTAATCCCTGTCGACTGTGATCCCTGTCAATTTTTGTCCTCAACCTATTTCCGATTCGACTTTCTCCCGTTTTCACTTTAATCCCTTTTGACTCTTTTCCTATGGACTTTTTCATATTAGAATTTTATCTCAGTCAACCTCATTCCTTGTCAATTTTTTGTCGTTTAATTTTTTCGTCGAACTTCTTTCCAATTGGCTTTTGTGTGGACACGATTTTTCTCCCCTTCTCTGGGCTCAGAGGCATCAACAGCTGCCGTGAAATATCGATACCCGAACGTGCTACTCAAAAGAACAGCGATATCGAGTAACCTGTGTGAAACTGGATCAGGGGAGACTGACACTGATCATGAATTGACGTTCTGTGAGAGAATCTAGGATAATGGGCTAAATAAGATATTTCTTTTCCTATCTCGAGAACTATTATAACCATAAGTCGTATAACTCAGACCCATGTGAGCTATTTTTGAGGAAACGCGACGTTGGATGATGCTCGAAATATTAAATCATGCAGATAGCAGTGATGTAGTATTCAAAATACATTGGGGGAGGCTGAGCACATAAAAATGGATAAAAACTAACCCCAAAATACGCCTAAAACACAGGTTCCTCCTTAGCCCCATTTTTTTCTCATTCGTAAGAGGGAGAGACCCCAACCCTGCAGAAAACAGCCACGCAGAATTAGTTATCTATCACATGTAAAAGGTCATATTGGCCAGGCCCAGTACGTATCGTCCAGAACCCGATGTATCAGAAACTGGGAGCGACATGACAATGAAACAAACCACGCTGGATGGTGCTTATCGAATCGCAAAATATATCGGCTAGTACGACCTAAGAAGAATCTTCTTGAACTTCTAGACTCTGAAATACAGCGGCATCGAATAACCCGCGTAACAGTCAATCAGTGGACAGTGACAGTGATCATGAGATGGCGTTTTATGAGCAAATGACCCGACATGACATCTGATGTCATGCCGGGTCATTCAATGCCAAAAAGGTATGGGCGGAGATCATTTGACGTGGCGCATTTGATCAGGCTTGAAATTGCATGACCAAACTGCATATGATATAATTGCGTACGATCGTCCTTTAATTCAATATTTGACAAATTAATGTGAAAAAGCCACTTCGAACACTTATGCACCAAAAGTATCCATTACTTGGCGCCTGGAATCGAAATGCGACCGACATGACTTGAAAGAGAGGCAATCTCTCGTGACCTATGGTTGTGAAACTTTCGCAGGAGGCAAAGGCGTGCGAACGTTTCAAAAAGAGTGTGGGAGATGTTGGCCAAACTTTTGAGTGGCTCAATATCAAAGGTAATCTGTCATGACCTATGGTTGTGAAATTTTCGCGTGAGGCAAAGGTGTACGAACGTTTCAAAAAGAGTGTGGGGGATGCTGACCAGGCTTTTGAGTGGCTCAATATGGAATGTCCGTAGGCGATATTGCCATAATTTTTTTTATTGCTCGGATCCCGACCAACACTTTTCAGTTTTTTTTTTTGGCGCGGCATTTCACACAGAAGCTCATTCAGAAGCTTCGAAGATTGTCCGGCGAAAACAAGGTGACAAAAGGCCTCAAATCCTGCACAAATATGCCAACATAAGTCGCCACCAAGTGACGGTACGTCTTCGGATACTGCCCGCCTGAGCACTGTTCGCGTCCGCCGCCGACAGGCACAGCCTTTGCCAGGCTACTGTCCGTCGACAGGCACAGCCCTTGCCCGGCTGCTGTCCGCCGACAGGCACAGCCCTTGCCCGGCTGCTGTCCGCCGACGGGCACAGCCTTTGCCAGGCTGCTGTCCGCCGACAGGCACAGCCTTTGCCAGGCTGCTGTCCGCCGACAGGCACAGCCTTTGCCCGGCTGCTGGCCGTCGACAGTAGCCTTTCAATTGAATACCAGCTCTTAAATATGGCAGCTTTTATCAAGAGCTCTTCTTAAGTCACCAACAACATGAACACATTTTGAAGCATCGATACCAACTCACTGGTGTGAAAAGCAGGTGGGACGCCTGGTTCAGTGCGTGTTGCCGAATTTTCTTCAGCAACATCAAATCAAAAACTGCATTTCGGCAAATCATCTGCCTGAGGTATGAGCTGGTCCACTGGACATTTGCTTTCTGTAGCCTAAATAAAATGGCTTGGTCTGCCTTTGTATGTGCGACGAAGGTATCGGGATTTTGCCCAGGAGTGTTCCTTAGGTATATATATATATATATATATATATATATATATATATATATATATCCTGAGCTCCACGGAACTTTCCGGGGGGCGACTCAGAGAGACAGGGAAAACTAGGGCTATATGAACAGACAGAACGGGGCTTTGGGCACTACCGTGCAATGGGGCTTGTCTCAAAATATTTATCTGCTGCCCTGCATAGAGATACGATGTCTTTGTCGCCGTTTTTGAAAACGATGAGACTTCCTTCATAATATAAAGTAATTATTTCCAGCACGTATCGAGGAAGATGGCTGGTGGGCTGGGTAAATCGTCATACTTTTCTTTTTAGATGGCGCAAAAGTAAACCAAACATGAACTAATCATGAAAAGTGGGAGGGGGAAGGGGGCGGACAGTGCTACTCGACATTATCCGCCCCAACCTCGAAATATGGAGCTGGGGCTTGGCACGCGGTCCCCTCTCATTCCTTCGCGTATGTCAGGAGGTGTGCCAATAATAAAGATGCAGCTGCTTAACATCTCAGCATGATGTGCTACCGTTTCCTCCCTTAAGAGTACGGTGGTGCCCCCCTCCCCCCCCCCCCAGCCCCCTCGGTCTGCGAGCGAAAATACACAAAGATCGGTCCACCGAATGTTATACATTTGCCAACAGCCAAGCAAGCTAATAGCTATTAATCATTTTTCAGAAAAAAAACAAAGCAGAGTAAATAGTCCTCCATGGACGACCATCAACTCGCTACGAAGGATTCCAAGCTTGAGAGGCGGAAAAGTGGCTTTATTATGCATAAGGCACCCTACGCATTACCGGACGACATACCTTATTGGACAGGCCATTTCCAATGCTCTGTAGCAGAAGATTGGTTTTGCTGGCTTCCAGGCCCGCCACCACCTTTCCAGGCTTGATACCCAGCTTCTCTTCGGTAACAAACTCTGAGACGAACAGACCTGGAGTCAGTCTGTTACACGATAACGTTACACAACGGCCTCACAGTGCCTGTGTTGAATGTATTAAAAATGCAGTTCCGTAACAGTTAGGCACGTTGTTGCACATGTGTCATCCGAACATAATCCGTGAAAATGCGTAATCACTCGGAAGGACACAACCATGTAAACAGTTGGTAAACCACAGAGCAGGCTGGCGGCAGAAACGGTATTTTTCTGCAAATTTCCATCGAGGAACCAGTTACTGAGAATTAACATGTGATTTGCTCAAGGTCGAAGACGTCGCTCCAAGAATACCTTTCGCCCGCCGGAAATAATCCGGCCATCCGGATGGTGGAGGATTGCTTCGGTGCGGAGGTTCAGGAAGAGGAATAGGAGTGTCACTCAGCCATCCGGTTTGAAATCCAGCTCCTTTTCGCTTTCGGTGCTGGACGACCACCCACATATGCGAAGGTTAATGCAAACAAAACATGCTCCGTCCCCTTCTCCAGCACTTAGCCCACAGGCAACGCTTTTTGAACCGTGTGTCTGCACCGATGACGACACGTGGCTAAATGCGTCCCTCCAACTTCAACTTCACGTTGAATGAACACCAGGCTGCACGCATTTCACCTCGCAAGTATACATGCCACTTTCAACAAGCTGACATTGCGACGCGATTAACAGCAATAATAACCGGCAACTTACCCATCACATCGATGACTTTCTGAATGTACGCCACTTTGCTGTCCTTGTCCTTGAAGCTGTCTGACTTCATTTCGGCAGGAGTAAACAAGCCCTCCATGAAACCGTGGTCCCTTATCACCTGAGACACAAGTACAGCTGGGTGTGACATTGGCTATGCCTGCGAAGACGAGGACGACGGACAAAACAACGGATCGCCGCGTATCGCTGTGGCTGTGGCCTTTGATCCACGGGGTCAAGGGCCGCGCCAGTGCAGTGACGTGCATGGAATGGCTGTATGTGCGACGTTTGACTACTCGCAGATTCTGCTGACTTTGCCTTCAGATCTAGCGCTGCCGCATCACAAGCAGCATGGTGCAGACCAACGTGCGACGACGAACAGCTGACAACCAGCCCAATCGTCGAGTGCGGGAGTGGCACAGCTGGTATTGGGGACTTTGTTTCATGCATATTTCACTGCATATGATCCCCAATCAGCACCCTCGGATTACTTTTGGAACGTTCTCTGCGCCCAAAAAGCTCTTGTAAACACGCTCCCGTACAATTAAACATGCATTAATTCATGTCATCTGTGCACAAGAGCTTCTTAGCTTTGCGCTCTTGCACGGAAACAGTGTTTTTCACTGCCACATCTTAATGGGAGAATGCGAACATCCCAAAATGTTGCGTAGAAAATCACTAAAACATACAAAAACAATCGTTCATTATGGTTTGAGGTTGGGGTTCAATACATGAACCTCTCACATACTGCAGAAAACAAGTCGTGTAGAAATTTAAACGGCGGTTTGCTGAGCAGCTTGTCCGACAACGGCGGTTTCTTGACGAATTTGCCGAGAGCATCTTTGGTGGCTTTTAGCACCGCCGGGTCAATTTCCTCTGACATGTTCTCTCACACACGGTCCCTGCAACAAAAAAGCGCACACAGCCAGTCAGCCATGATACTGCTATGACCGCCTCTCCGTGCGTAGCGAGAGGGCGCCAAACTAATCACCTCAGACATCGTCATAATCTGGCCCTTCGAATTGGCTGCTCCACGCTCTGTCAAGTCATGTCACTCGCGATCTGTGACGTCAGTCATTACGTGCAGCGTCCACACCCAGCTTCGATCGTACAGGATCTATGTCAGCAGACCTAGCAAACAGCTGCATGCGCCAGCTGGTGGCCACAGCGGTCCGCTTTAGCAGCGAGTTAGGCACACTCTCCAACCAAAAAGACGTCAGTTTATCATGATCCAGATAGTAAAACAAGCAAAGCAAGATGACTCGTTCATTTGTTGTCTTTTGACACGCGCCTGAGTGACCGGTTGGATACCTTTCGCCCGCTGGGGGGGGGGGGGGGGGGGAAGGGGGTCAATTTGATCTCCCTGAGATTTCAGGAACTAAGAGGGTCAGGGACACCAAATTCATCGGGTGTGTTGGCCTACACATGAACGTACTTAGGTCAGTATTTGAGGTTCCTTGGTCCCGACCTTCGCGTTAAATAAGATAAAAAAGGCCAAACTCCAAGTTGATCTGCAAAATGTCCCCTGAGCCTAGATGCCTGCACTGAGCAAAAGACCACATGGTCATTTAAGGTCAGTGACCTTGCTTGACCTTAAGAAGGTCATGACTGAGAGATGTATAGCTTCGTCTAACACTCTGTTGTTCAATCAGATGGAACTATTCCCAGGAAATTAACTTCGCTGCATCTATGGCCTGACTCTGACCTGCCGTAGGTCAACGATCTTCCCAGGTACATCTTATTTTTTGATACCACTCGATGCGCTATTCTATTATCTACAGCTGTGCAAAATTTGGCGAGGCTACGCCGAACCGTTCGCAAACCATTCCGGAAAAACCCTCGGGGAGGGGGCCGATTTCACCCCCCACGCCGGCGCGTGTTAACCGACTATCTACCCTCGTAGGTCACTCGGCCAATGTGTCTGCCTTTCAACCTACCCGTGGAGGGGTGATGGGCTCTCAAAATTGCGCGTTTCAAAAAAAAATCCTGATGCTCGACTTAGTCGCTATTCTTCTAGACTTTCAAAACGATTACCCTCCAAACAACAAACGGGAATCCCAACCGCATCTGGGCCTGGGTCGGTATCCCCTCAGCCCTGTATGCACGACAATTATTAAAATATATTTCGTTTGAATCAACACATAAGGATCAAAATGAATGCAGCTATTAAGACATGCAAGACCAACACCACGATTTTCCTGCAGCCTGAAATCCTCCGCTCGTATGCTTGGATGCATGGTTGGCTTTGCCTCTGCCTTATCCCGGAGGCAAAACACAGCGACGTGCAGCTGAGGCCATTGCTGGTGGCACCCACACTTCAATGGAAAATATATCGGACCTAGGCCAGGCTTGTGGATGCTAGTTGGTACAGACAACTCACATTCGATCATTACTAGCATTTCATGTAAAACCGTATGCCTTTCTTTGGCCCAGTATGCCCGTTACCATCACCCCCACCCCCCGAAAGTATAGTGACGACCAATTTATACACCCGATTCATTGTTCCTGCTACCATGATCACATTCTACATCGAGCTGCAGTCTATCGAGCACAGTCTATATCGAGCCTCTGTCCACAGGTGGCTGCAATAAACCGCCTCTACGATAAGAAGTGAACATCTTTGGTTTTAAGAGGAACGTGCAGCTCGGTACCTAACATGGATGGCCTAGGTACGGTGCACTCGTTCAAGGCCGCTGTGACTGCAATCAATACAATTTTTGTTTTTGTCTACTTCACTTACAATAACCAAAGTACCGAGAAACATCATGCAAACACCACACAACCATCCTTACAGAGCATTCACTCCCGGCGACACTGCCCACGCCACCACTCACGGACCAGAATGTGTATGAGGAATGTTCAGCTCGTAGCCATGGCAACCCGGCTGTACGACACTGAATGAAGCAATGGTGGGCTGGCGTGAAGAGTCGGGGATCGGTGGAACTGAAAGTAAGCAGCAACAACTATCAATTAAGTGATCAATATTTTTTGCGACGATCCAATGAGACACTAAATTTCACTTACAGAGATACGTACAGTTTTGTAGAAAATTTTCAATACATCCGACGTCACTAAGGCTCATACAAAACATTGTTAAAACCTTGTAAGCCTTGAACGGGATCCCTAATAAAGCACTTACAACACATGTAGTCTGCTACATTGGTATGAAACATATTTAAAATTCTGATCTGTTTTTGCAGAGTTTTATACGACTTATTTGATCTTACAAACTATTTCAACATCTAAACCTAAGCAAATACGTCACTTAAGAAAAAGTGACACGGACGCAGATCGCAAACAGCTGTCTTGAGTTTCCCAAGATTGTTGTGTTTTTGTTACTGAATATTTTGTGTACCATTAAGAGACGAAAACATGAACTTTTAAAGTAAAATTGCCACATTTTCGAGACTCTGCAATGGTTTAAGGCCTCATGTCGTGTGTACAGCACGATCCGTCTTCTAAGCTTTCCTGTTTTTTGGTGCATTAAGTGTTTCACATCAAACAAGTCCTACTATTTTTAGTGCTAGGAACTTGAAAATATAGTTCGCAAGTAAATACCTCCGAGGGAGAAATCTGTGAGAGCGTAGCTGCGGAAAATTACATCAAGAAGAGAAAAGCTTACGGGAGTGGGACCCGCGCTACATTTTCGGCTGAAAAGGTGGTTACGGTGAGGTGGCGTGTCTTACTTTGTCCAGAGTCGCTGTATCGGTATTCGAGCCAAGGACAGCGTTTTTCATACGCTGATGTTAACGGTGTTGACAGTAATACCCGCCTGTTTATTGCTTGCTCTACGCTTGGGACCTTCGCATGTGCACTATTTTGCTCGCAGCGAAAGCCTTTGGTCTTTATTCAATAATGATCTAGGTGTTCAGCATCTGTCTGCCTGTCTTTCAAGTGAAAGAAATGCCACGACTAGCACTGCACAGATCATAATTCACTTACTGATAAAATGTTGACACGCGACTGCTTGTAATGCCAATGACAGGAGCACTGAATTAGACAGAGAGTGGCAGGCACCCCAGCTTTGGAATGCTTCTGTATTGATTCAATTATGGTGCATGGAAGAGCATTTAAAATATGGTTTTGCTATGAAATTTGAGAACTGTACTGCTGCCATTTGTAATAGTTGTTGATGGTAGTAGTTTCCTAATATGAAGAGGTAGCACTATTTTGAGGAGATTATTGTGACATAATTTGTCAGAGCCAGGATCACAAGTCATCAAGCTCCTGAACTACCAAGTTTTATTTATCCTAGTGGTATCAGTGAATTAGATATGCCAGAAATCATTCTGGCAATGCTGTGAATTTAGAATGCTTGATTTTTTTACCTTTCTGTATTTAATATGTCTTGCATTGCATTTTGATATTGCAGCATTGCTAAAGATTCCCTGACCTCCCTCAAAACAGCACCTGCTCTTATAGTTAAAGCACTCAAATCAAGGTAGGTCCTTAAATTGCTCTGCACATCAGCAGTAAATGCTACATCCCATAAACACTACATCTTGCCCAGGATCATAGCCATGGAAAGGGCTGGGGGGCTGTGTTCCACTCTCTCCTGAGCCAAGAGGCTTGCACATTTTGTTCAAGTGTATAGGATTTTGGAAAAACTCAACATTTACCATTTTACAATTTCTAACCATACCTGACCTTATTAATAGATATCCTCTGCTTCATCTCTCTTACTCAAGGATAAATTCATGTTTAATAATTGATCAAATTGTCTTGAAAAACCAGAGTTAAAGAAGCATTTTGTAGCCTAAAATGATGACTCAGGTTTAGCCTACTTAAAATTCACACATTTATTTTGTGGATAAATAGTGGCCATTGGCATGTCAAGGGTTCCTGGATTTTTTTGTGCCACTTTTTGTTATTAGATGACAAATAACTTTTTTATACAAATTATCTCATCCAGTGATATTTAGTTAAAAAAGGTCCTGAAGGCACTGCTTGAAATTTGTGTTAATACCATAACTTATCTTAATATGTTTCCAAAATCTCAGCAGCTATGCACACATTTTGTTCATGCAAAAATATGGGTGTCATATGACCAGGGTGATTGATGAACCCTAAAGCCTTACTTATCATCATCATGTGAAAATCTGAATTCTGTACCTTTTTGCATCATGGGTAATGACTTTGTCATCAGCACTTGTTTTGATGTCATTGTTGTTCATAGTGAGCATTGTAAAACAAGGTTCTGCCTTGATTTTGGTGATATGGCAATGCTGCACCATGATGTATTAAACAAATATATCGCAAGGAGATCTTTTTAAGTCCATGCTTGAGCTGGGTCAGATGTGTCATGTATACAACCATTTAGGGATTAATGTATGTGCTTTGTGACATGCTTTTCCTATCTTAGGTTATACTGTAAGCATATTTGTGATATGTAGTCCAAACCTGTTGAGTTGGCAGATTTCTTGAACCAGGCCCAAGCTGAGGAGTTTTGTTGCGTGATCCCTGACCCCACCTGCCAATGATGACACACCTGGTTGATAGCAGAACTTCGCAGCAAAAATTGTACATGCCTTAATGCTGTCATATCAGCAGGCCTTCCAAGTTGGGAGCAAATAGTGAATGCTTGGAGGGACTCCAAGCCATCCTGCTATGGTTGGGCGAATCTGAAGATGGATGCTCAAATCATCTGAGCTTCTGGCGGGAGTGTTTCATGCAGAAACTATCCAATGTTTGTCTCACTGTCACTGCCATGCTTAGGCCTTGGGATAACAGCTGTATAAGGTGTATGCCTGTATACACTGGGCTCCTCCATTGAGGGCCTGATTTGAAGTGTCACAGACTGGAAGGCGGTTTCATATTCTGTTAGGTGGGGTCAGGTGGGGACTGCAACCCCCTTACATTGTTATCAAATTTCTCTCTCCTAATGCATCAACAAACTTTTTGGCATATTTTGGGTCAGGTTTTGCTATTTTGCTTTGGTTAGTTCCCTAGCCTATTTTACTAAGTTATGCCCCTGGTCACAAGTGCTATTTACCAAGGACCACACATATATGCATGTGTTGCTTAAAAAAACAGTTGTTTTTGGGTCCAAAAGGAACTTGTCGCCTCACCCTCCAATGTCATTTGACCTTTAGTGCGACTGCTGTGACAGACAGACTTAATGATTTAGTCAGAAGAGTTAGTGCCAGTCTCCACCCAGATTTATTCTCACCTGACATTGGTGACATTTTCAAGCACAGACATGGGGAATGACACACAGTTCCAGCACCACATCAACTCACTCCACCCTTTTGTCAAGTTCACCACAACATGGGAAGATGGCAATGGCTTCATTCCCTTTCTGGATATCCTTCTAACTCACCAATCAGACAACATGTATAGTGCAGAGCTGTGCATAAAGGAGACATGCTCTGGGACATCACCGCTCTTCCATTCCGCCCATCCTCGTCTCATGAAAAAACTCCTGCATGGAACACCTTCTGTTCAGAAACAGAAACAGTTCGTTTCTGAGTGTTTAGGGAACGCCCAGAAACGAACTCCGCGGAACCGTTCGCCTCTTATCCACACTGCAAGCAGTCACACACAGCATCAGCCATATCAGACAAACATTTCACAACAGCGGCTACCCACCAAAATTTCAACCCTCAACGCAGTCCTGAAGTCAGGGGGAAATGTTCCCGACAGTGTACTCCGGGACAGAACGCCCAAGGATTTAGCTTTTGAGTGAACATGGCACAGGGAACAAAAGGAAGCAAACGCAAACGTGACGTTTTTTTATCTCTGCCTTTTCCTGACGATCAGCTGCAAAAAAGTGGAGCGGTTAGTGAGAGCCAATGGAATATCACTCGTCCGTGCAAAATAGCGCGGACCAGTCAAAATTCATGAAAACAGCATTTTGTTCATCCAGGTGTGCAAGGGCCAGTCTACTGTGTCAAGTGAGGTATATTCATTTCCTGTGCGTTTGGCTTCGATAAAACCTACGCGACAAGCTGCGCGCTTTGTCAGGTCAACAGCACACTGTGACCTGCCACCGACATGGGGAGGGCGTACGCCCCGTGAGGTAATGCTTTTCATCACTGTGCCGCCTTTGAGAAAGATATCAGCAACTCATTTGGACTTCTTTTTCATGATCACCACGGTTTTGATTTTCTTTAGTTCTAGCTGTGGGGGAAATTTTTTGTAAGTGCATGGCCATGTTGAACAAACACTTAAAGGAAGCTATTTTATTCAAAGCATTAAACCGAACAAACAACATAGCTAGCTGGTCCCATTTGGGTTAAAAAGACGAACTAGTATAGCATAGATGTAAGCATAGCATAGCATAGCAAGCAAACAATAGCAATATGCAAGCAAGCAAGCATAGCATAGCATAGCATAGCATATATAGCATATATGGCATATGTGGACATCATAACTGTCATGTGATATCATGCAGCATGTTTTTGGGTATTTATTTGGTGCCCATGTTTTGTGGTGTTTTGCAATGTGTCTTTGAGTTTGGTATGGTGTCCACAGTAAATGTATGTCTGCCCTCCAGTGAAAAGTATGGATGGGTAAATTTATGAAACATAGATAACAGTGCTGTTAACCGTACTCCTCGTCGAATAAGCATGAGGACGGAGGGATAGATGCATTGATATTTCGGCTGCATGCCCTTATCAAAACAATCATATATATGCTCACTTGTGTGCAGGGTTTAATGTTCCAAGTGAACATGGTTTCTTTAAAGAGAATGGTCCACATTTGAAAATATTGAAGCGAGCATCAGCTGTGGTAACCCACGAAAACTATTGTCATGCTTTTAAGTGGAAAACGCTGCCCTAGTTAGCTGGATATATCCGTTAAAGAAATATGCTCCTCAATTCGTCATTGTTTCATTATGTCATCATAACTTACATCATTGATTGAGAGCCAATTGACGACCGTTACATCTGGAAATCGTGTCCAGGGACGCCAGATATGAACGCTTCTGACTACTCTACTTTCCTGGGCCTTTATCATCGCACCAGTCTCCTGAAATAAAGATAGGAAATCTTGCAGGCGTGGAGCTCCGAAACTATGTATTAGATCTTGAGAAGGGCAGGGCTGTAAGCTGCACCAAGTGACGTTCAAGATGGCGTTATCAGTTCAAGTTTCATACGAACGTGTAGCACCTCCTTTAAGTTTGATTAGACATGCACATGACACTTCCATAATGTTTTCCCCGCAATGGGAACTTCAGGAAGAACATCAAAGCCGTGGTGATCATGAAATAGAAATCCCATCGGGTTGTTGTCCTCCTTGAAGGGGGCGCGGCGATGATAAGCGTCATGTTGAGTTATATATAATACATCATTCCTATGATTAGCTGAATGGTTGTGCATAACGTTTTTTATCACTGCTGCGCCGCCTTCATGGAGGACATCAACCCAATTGGACTTGACTTTCATAGTCACCACCCTTTTGATGTCATTCCTAAAGTTCCAGTGATGGGGAAAATGTGTGAGTGCCATGACCACGTTTAACGAAAACTTAAACCATGGTTATTTGTAACATTAAACCCCATGATCAAATAAAGATGCATGTTTGTTTTGATGGAGGCATGTAGCCGAAAAATATTGATATGCTCCCTCTCCTTTCTCCTGGTTATTCGACGCGGGATAAGGCTAACAACAATGTCTTATCTATATGCGGAATGTTCGTCGCAAATGTACTGACAGCTTATGTAAAATTATGATATGTTAAGTGTTTGGATAATTCATTTTACGTTCGTGATTTATTCAAAAGTTGTAGAAGTGCGTGGGCATGTTCAATTTCAAAAGTTGGCCCATCAAAGACCGACGAAAAGGCCATACCATGCAATTAAAGGCAAACCGATTGTAACATGCCATTTCAGTTTGCTCCAAATGGCAAGATAAAGTTGCTGGGGTCCGAGGAGAAAGCATTGCTCAGAGCTATCCCAGGCATCGACAGTGAGACCAGGGCCCCCAATTGTTCATGCAAAAATGCACTGCAGTACATGAGTATGCCTTATCAATTTGGATTGCATTGCATTTTGTGTGTAATGTTAGCATACTGATGGAGTTTTCAGTTGCCATTGTTTTCAGATGTGATCACTCGGCAGCACCACTCAATGCTTTGACAAAAGTTCACAAGTGAGCTGCTGAAATGGACCCTGCTGAGCCAGCTGAGCGGAAGAAGCCAGAAGAAAACAAAGAAAATGAGCACAGTGTGGAGGTAGGTGCTCTGTAATGTTCCTGACCACAGTACCATATGGATAGTACCGGAAGTAATGTTTTGGAGCAGATCGCAGTGGTGTTCTGAGCGAGTCTGTAAGCCCAGTGGGTTGACTCGAAACCTGAGACATTTTTAACTTGGGCGGCTCAGCTGGGCTCGGCCGTCACACTTTCTAGAAGCCAATAGAATTGCAACGCCTGGTCGCGGACTCGCACGTTTTTCGGTAACCACAAAGCCTTAAAAGTTGTGTAGTATGCGTTGCTGGGCATTGAGGCAAGTCCTATCAGACGAGCACTCCCTACAACGCTGGAATAGTGCTGCTATTCATGTCGCCCATCCGATTCACGTGGCAAGCATAAAACTTAAATCACGAGAAAAACCGTAAGTGGTTCGGTGCATTAGGGAGGAACATTCACATAAGTAAAACAGAAGCATTATCATTATTCTTCGGAGAAAAAACAGGAGAATGGAGATATTGTTAGGTTGATATTTTGCCAATATGCCTTATCGAAACAAAGGCAGAAGCATGCTATTGTTTTGATAAAGGCATATTGTGGAAATATCAACCCAACTATATCTCCATTCTCATGGTTTTTCTCCGAAGAACAAGGCTAACACTACCGTCTTACCGATGAAAAAACCGGAAAACACGGATCGGAAACAGGTGGAGATCTCGGTGACCGGGCGTCGCAGGGACGCCAGAGTGGCTAATAAGAGCGAAAGGAAAGACGCAGGCCCCACTGACAAAAATGGAGGCTGACGTGTGCTGACCAGCACGCTCGAAGCTCAGCGCATACGTGGTTACGTCTTAGATCCGCCCGTTTTCGGAGTTATTAAGCTCGGTCAGGTTTTAGGAACTGGAGCAGATGAAAACGTAAAACCAGCTGAACGATGTAGGTGAATGTGAATGTGTTGGCTGCATGCCACTATTCGGTACTACTACGAAGTGCTCGCTAAAAGCCACTGCTATCGAAGGGAGCAAATGGAACAAACTTTTTCGAAACCGGTCTTAAACGCGAAACGTCGAGGCTTAAACCGAGAGAGCTTGGGCCACGAAAGCTGCACTTGCATGTAGCCCTATTTATGATTACCAATACACTGCCAATTGACATATTTTGGTCAGTCACAATTGCCAGTTGCCGTTGGTAGGCTTACTAGTAGGATATGCCAGCTTAGTGTTTGGGATCAGCTAAACGGTAACAACTAACAATTTGGACATCGGTTATCGCCTTGCTTCTCCCAATCCCAAAAGGCATCGTGCTGGTATGATATGCTGGAAGACATGAGGCTGTTCTTCGGCGTCATTGTCAATGCGTCGTATTTCGTGGTGGCGTTTCATGGCATAATCGCTGCCAATTTAACGCTTCGCAGCCACTCCCAATGGGTCAAAGTATATGTATGAAAATTATCATGTGCTGTGTCATGACGCGTCTTAAAAGCCCAGTAGAAACAATAAATAACAGTGGCGTTTGTTATAGATATACTGCAAATTGAGCGTCTTATTCAGCGTGTCTTCACACTGGGAGCGGTGGACTAGGAATACAGACAGTGGGTATGTCGGGTGCGAGTGTTACCATCGCCTTACACTGAACAAGTATGCAAACCACACTCGTGTACCCGCATTAGAACTCATGGGTTTCACTGAACCAAATACTGGGTGTTGAATACCACGCAGGCTTTACCACGCGGCGTCACATACTTCTGGAGAGTGGCGCCATGCTCAAACAAGCACATTCTATTAGAGCATGGAAACCGTACGTACCGACTTTGCGCCAAGCAAAGTAGACGCAGTAGTTCGCACCTTTCTGCGAACACTTTGTTACTAAGATTTCATTCAGCGGAACTCGTGCATCAGTGTAAACGTACCCTTTAACGTGACATTCCAGGAGCAGTAAGAGCATGGAGAGATGAATGGGGGGACGGAGTCTCTGGGATCGCGGTGACTGTCGTTTTACCGCAGCATACATGGGCAGACGGGACGTGATGAGACGTCCTCAGATGAAGGCATATAGAACGCCAGCTAGACATGCGTTATTGCCATGCGCACTAAGGGAGTATACGGGGTTTTGCATTGGGGCACATCTTAATTTTTTTCTGAAAAACTTTGTACCGCGTTACAGGTGCGTCAAATATTCTACTGCATATAACAACAACGCATGTTTTCAATGTACTTATTTTTGCGTGGCTAGCTTTGTTTTTCCATCGTCGATAGTTACGCACATGCGACATTGAATCCTTCTAAATAACGTCAGTATCATGCCTATAAATGCATGTAAAGACTTGATAGGCGGAGATTATGTGTTTCGGCCCTTTCCCCTGACTGTGCAAACGTCAGTATCATGCCTATAAATGCATGTAAAGGCTTGATAGGCGGGGGTCATGTGTTTCGGCCCTTCCCCCTGAATTTGCAGCCCGTGCGCTGGACCGCGTGATGCTGCTAATTGACGTGAACAGTAACATGTACCTAGCGCAGGCTTAGAGCTGCATGTTCATAGCATGATCAGCGGCCACTGCAGCACACAGCAGTAAATAATGTGCGGACAGAGACACTAATGTGCGTGCGTGCGTGCGGTGCACTAAATACGGAACATTTAAAATGTTGATTTATCCGGTCATGTGCCTTTACTCGCTCGATGCAACTGGTAGTGTCGATTGATTTGCCTGCACTCCTAGGAGAAAGTGGGGGTGTCGATATTGTAGTGGTTTAAGTGTCTGCGTTAGCCACTGTTTGTCTGGCCCACCAGAGGTACAGGAAGGGATTCCCCGCGGTGGCCGCCCTTCCTGCCAGGGCGATAGGAAGATGACGCCATTTACCCTCAGCAACTGAATGTTTCGTAAAGCCCCAGTGACGACAAGAGAAAGCTGCGGTGATAAAGGAAGAACCGCTAACATGCCGACAATGCGTCTATATTTCCCGATCGCCTTTTGAACAGCGCGCGCTGACTGCTATATGTCGGTGCCCACCGCTCCCATGCTCGCCGGCGGGCGGCCGAGCGTGTGGTCAGGCGCCCCGCTCGCCGTCGGCGGTGGGTCGGCGACTCGGTAGCGACGCCAGTTACAGGCGGAAACGGGTCTGTGCGGCCGAGCGTGTGGTCAGACGCCCCGCTCGCCGTCGGCGGTGGGTCGGTGACTCGGTAGCGACGCCAGTTACAGGCGGAAACGGGTCTGTGCGGCCGCAGCGGATGAGGGCTGTGTTTTGAGATGGTGGTGACTCCCCGTTGTGGAGGAGGTGTGTCGTGCCCTCGATGATCGCACTGTTATCCGATGAGAACACTTCATCAGACAACAGGGGCTTCAAACTTTCAGCTCGACAAAGAGCTTCCAACTTCAGCTTCCAACTTTCTCTCGACAAAGAGTGGTTTGGTAATGAACACGGAACACATTCATTGGTAATGAATCACACTATAAATTCCGGCGCGCGTGCGCGGTGGCACATCGCCGTCGCCAGTACGCCAAAGGCCGTGGCAGTGAGTCATCCCCGGCTGATGGCAGTGATTACCAGCGGCGGCACCGGTGTACGCGCTGGTGCCGCTGCGTGGGGGACGACCCCTTGTGTGGTCGATGAGGGGATGCGGCCGCCGGTGGCGGGGGCGGACAGACCCGCCGCGGTGTCGGCCGCGGGCCGCCAGTGCTCCGCGGCCAGTGACGCTGGGCCGGTCTGTGACTGTGCGGCGCCCTCGCCGCCTGCCGTCAGTATGGCCAGCAAGATGTCGACGCAGGAGGTACTCCTCCCGGGAGCTGGCGACGCCCGCCGCTCTGGGTGTTTGTCCACGGTGCTCTCCATGTTTTGGTCGCCTTTCTCAGGCATCGACGGCGGTGTAGGGCAGTTTCTCCTGTAAGCGGATGGTTTTCACCGGCCCAAGTAGGACAGCAGCGGGCGATAGTGGCGCTATCGCTCCATTATGTTTTATTATTTTGGTTTCGAATGGCCCTCTGCCGGCAATCCGCCTTTGCGGTGCTGGGTATAATGCGTTAGGTTGTGCCCCTGGCCGCTAAGTTAGAACCCAAGGAGCACTGCTCAGCACGTCCTCTGAGCATAGCTGCTCTAGTGGATGTGGTTTCGGCAGGAACTTTGATATTGTTATTGTAGTTGACAAAGCCGATACCATTTTCAATACGATGATTTTCGAGGCTTTCCCAGTTAGGAACGAGTACTTTCTGACGCGAAAGACGCATGACGGAGATGTGTAATGTGCCTGACTTGATGCCTGACATATGATTTCTGGTCTTACTGGTGCCGCACACCGGCGTCCAGCGTTCTCGTCGAGTGACGTTTTCCATCGCTAAGTGGACGAGACTATATTCACCGCGACCCACCAGTCACTCCGCCTTATCATTCAACCGTGTAAGCTGCGCTGTGACCTGTCCAGCCCCGGCGACTCAGCTGCCGCCGCCCTGTCACCTGCTGCCATTGTTACGAGCTCTTCAGCTCTCGGCATCGGATGACTGTCCTCCACCCTCTGTCGTACGGACGGACAGAACGGCCTCGGCGTGTGACCACGTGGCCCACTGCAGAGCTGCCTGCCTCGGGCGAGCTCTCCCCACGTGTGACCGCCTGCCCACAGAGCCTGGCCGAGGTGTTCCGCTGTTTCATCTGCATGGACAAGCTGCGGGACGCCCACCTCTGCCCGCACTGCTCCAAGCTCTGCTGCTACATGTGCATCCGCCGCTGGCTGACGGAGCAGCGGAGCCAGTGTCCGCACTGCCGCGCCTCGCTCCACCTGCACGAGCTGGTCAACTGCCGCTGGGTGCAGGAGGTCACGCAGCAGCTGGACACGCTGCAGGCGGTCGGCGCCAACCTCAAGCTCGACACCGGCGAACGCGACAAGTGAGGCGCCGCCGGCGGCTGCAGGGGCACCGTGGCTGATAATGCGGGCGGTGCCAGGGCAGAAAGCGGGCTGGGGCAGGGGGTCACTCGCTACCCTCGACTGGCAGGGGAAATAGGCAGCTGGTGTGGGGTCAGCTACCCTCGACTGGCAGGGGAAATAGGCAGCTGGTGTGGGGTCAGCTACCCTCGACTGGCAGGGGAAATAGGCAGCTGGTGTGGGGTCAGCTACCCTCGACTGGCAGGGGAAATAGGCAGCTGGTGTGGGGTCAGCTACCCTCGACTGGCAGGGGAAATAGGCAGCTGGTGTGGGGTCACTCGCTACCCTCGACTGGCAGGGGAAATAGGTAGCTGGTGTGGGGTCAGCTACCTGCGACTGGCAGGGGAAATAGGCAGCTGGTGTGGGGTCAGCTACCCTCGACTGGCAGGGGAAATAGGCAGCTGGTGTGGGGTCAGCTACCCTCGACTGGCAGGGGAAATAGGCAGCTGGTGTGGGGTCACTCGCTACCCTCGAGTGGCAGGGGAAATAGGCAGCTGGTGTGGGGTCAGCTACCTTCGACTGGCAGGGGAAATAGGCAGCTGGTGTGGGGTCAGCTACCCTCGACTGGCGGGGGAAATAGGCAGCTGGTGTGGGGTCAGCTACCCTCAACTGGCGGGGGAAATAGGCAGCTGGTGTGGGGTCAGCTACCCTCGACTGGCGGGGGAAATAGGCAGCTGGTGTGGGGTCAGCTACGTTCTGCTGACAGGGGAAATAGGCAGCTGGTGTGAGGTCAGCTACGTTCTGCTGACAGGGGAAATAGGCAACTGGTGTGGGGTCAGCTACGTTCTGCTGACAGGGGAAATAGGCGTCTGGTGTGGGGTCAGCTACGTTCTGCTGACAGGGGAAATAGGCGTCTGGTGTGGGGTCAGCTACGTTCTGCTGACAAGGAAAATAGGCAGCTGGCGTGGGGTCAGCTACGTTCTGCTGACAGGGGAAATAGGCGTCTGGTGTGGGGTCAGCTACGTTCTGCTGACAGGGGAAATAGGCAGCTGGTGTGAGGTTAGCTACGTTCTGCTGACAGGGGAAATAGGCAGCTGGCGTGGGGTCAGCTACGTTCTGCTGACGGGAAATAGGCACCTGGTGTGGGGTCAGCTACGTTCTGCTGACAGGGAAAATAGGCAGCTGGTGTGGGGTCAGCTACGTTCTGCTGACAGGGGAAATAGGCGTCTGGTGTGGGGTCAGCTACGTTCTGCTGACAGGGGAAATAGGCACCTGGTGTGGGGTCAGCTACGTTCTGCTGACAGGGGAAATAGGCGTCTGGTGTGGGGTCAGCTACGTTCTGCTGACAGGGAATATAGGCAGCTGGTGTGGGGTCAGCTACGTTCTGCTGACAGGGGAAATAGGCGTCTGGTGTGGGGTCAGCTACGTTCTGCTGACAGGGGGAATAGGCGTCTGGTGTGGGGTCAGCTACGTTCTGCTGACAGGGGAAATAGGCACCTGGTGTGGGGTCAGCTACGTTCTGCTGACAGGGAATATAGGCAGCTGGTGTGGGGTCAGCTACGTTCTGCTGACAGGGGAAATAGGCACCTGGTGTGGGGTCAGCTACGTTCTGCTGACAGGGAATATAGGCAGCTGGTGTGGGGTCAGCTACGTTCTGCTGACAGGGGAAATAGGCACCTGGTGTGGGGTCAGCTACGTTCTGCTGACAGGGAATATAGGCAGCTGGTGTGGGGTCAGCTACGTTCTGCTGACAGGGAATATAGGCAGCTGGTGTGGGGTCAGCTACGTTCTGCTGACAGGGGAAATAGGCACCTGGTGTGGGGTCAGCTACGTTCTGCTGACAGGGAATATAGGCAGCTGGTGTGGGGTCAGCTACGTTCTGCTGACAGGGGAAATAGGCACCTGGTGTGGGGTCAGCTACGTTCTGCTGACAGGGAATATAGGCAGCTGGTGTGGGGTCAGCTACGTTCTGCTGGGCGTTGTCATGTAGAGGCGTGCTCTTGCGATACGGCGTACGAAAAGCAAGGACGCTGCGTAAGACCGTCGTCTCGATGCAGACGGCGCGATATTTTATGAACCTCGCGACAAAGGTCATTTTTGCGCGTCGGCATGCTGTCTGCTGTGACCTCGGGCTGTTCGTGGACAAGAAGCGGTGTACCGTGAGCTGTCATACATTTCCCCACTAGTTGGCCCGTTTCAAGGGCGCACGTGTGTCCACCAGGTGCGAGACCCATCAGGAGAAGATGTCGGTGTACTGCTGGACGTGCCGCAAGTGCATCTGCCACCAGTGCGCGCTGTGGGGCGGCACGCACTCTGGCCACGTGTTCAAGCCGCTGGAGGACGTGTATGAGCAGCACGTGGCGCAGATCAAGACCGAAGTGTCGCTGCTGCGCCGTCGTCTCATGGAGCTCATCAGCCTCGTCCAGGAAGTGGTTAGTCAGCCGTGCCGGCTCCGTCTGTCTGTCCGTCTGTCTGTTCTTACGTCCTTCTGTCCGTTTGTCTCATTATCCGCACATTGTATGGTTCTCTGGTCCGCTCCATAGGTTGGCTGTTCGCGTGGGTATCGTTATGTTCTGGTCTGCTTGTGTCTGTCTGTCTAGCTGTCTGTTCGCCTATCGGCAGCGCCATTTCGTCTGTCTGGGACTGCGGAGGGGATGGTGAACGCCTGGGAGCGGGTGCCGTTCGTCTGCGCAGGATGGTGCGTGGCCGTTAGGAGACGTAGCGAGACGGGACGTGGCAGCACGTGGCGAGGGCCTCGTGGGTGGGGGGCTCATTGGAATGATGTCGTCTTTTTAGTTAAGCCATGGCGTCTTACACTGCACTAATAGCCAACTGTTGGACGTTTTATTACCTGCCGCGCTGAGGTGGGTATTTCATCCATCGATGCTGCTGCAATATGTAGGTAATCTATTGGAGCGTCACGTGGCTCTCACTGCGCCGAGATGGGCTCCGCATTCCATAAGACAATGCTCACCTGTGCCAACACCGCCTCGTAAGCTGTGTTGAAGACAGGAGGACCGGCCTGAGACCAGCGCTGCGTCTTGTCTTCGCCGCCAACTCCCTCCCTCGAATCCGTGGTCTGTGCCCTCCGGCGCCGCGTCGGCGTCGGGCAGACGTCACCCACGCCTCGTGAGCGTGCTGTGGACGGGAATGACGCCCCGCGTGTCCGCCCCGGCAGGAACGGAACGTGGAGTCCGTGCGGGCGGCCAAGGACGAGCGGGTGCGCGAGATCCGTAACGCCGTCGAGTTGATGATCGCGCGGCTGGACTCGCAGCTCAAGCAGAAGCTGCTGACGCTCATGTCGCAGAAGAACCTCCTCACACAGGTACGGCACGGCGTCGGACCGAGGACGGTGCAGGAGACAGGGCTGTGTTTGTGTGCCTGTGCTTCGTTGATGACACAGTTTTGGGGCCATTGATGTGAGACGTCGGGTCATTGATACGAGAATTGTTGCATAAGTTTTCCGTCTGTATTTCCGTGACAACGTTTCTGAACGTTCTCCAGACCTGCGTCAGGCCTTCGGGGTGTGTCTCTAAGTCACACGTGTCGGTGTGGAGCATGTGCGACTCGACCTCGACCATGTATGCTGTAGTCGGCCTAGGGCCGGTATAAGCATCCATGCCCAGCGTCGGACTCGGCCGACTTTTGGCTGCGTCCCCGAGCCATGCCCCAACAAACGGCACGCCGGACCGTCCAGCTCACCATCTCACCGGCCGCCTCGCTCCCTGGCTGCCCCGCTCACGGGCTGCCCGGGCCGGTGCCACAGGAGACGGAGCAGCTGGAGAGCCTGCTGCAGGAGATCGAGCACAGCCTGCACACGAGCGCGCGCTCCGAGCTGATCGCCCGCTCTCCGGAGCTGCTCAACATGGTGTACCAGGTGCACAAGAAGCCGATGGCCTCTTTCGTCACGGCCCCGGTGCCGGCCGACTTCCAGAGGTGAGCCGGGCCGCATGCTGGTCAGCCGGGCACCAGCTGGAGAGCGCGCGTCAGGTATTGGAAAGTTTGTTTGTTCGTTTGTTTTGATTATTGTTTCCATGCTACGTTGCTGTTATTGTGCTGGAGTGGCTTTGCCACAGCGGCCAAACTAGTCAAAATTGTATTGTGGCTTTAAGAGCCTGTTGTGTATGTATGTGTCCGTACTGTTAGTCTTAGCGTCTGAGCGTTTGTTCGGCAGAACATGATTTGCAGGTGCTCAGTTCGGTTAGGAGGGGTCAGTTGAATTTCCTAAACACGGTCGCGAGTTACCAACGAAGTTGGCGCGCTTCAAAATACCACGTATATTGTTTTTCTCTCTATGTCTCTAACAACTAGGAATAATGGCTGAGGATGCACATATCCTCAGGGTTGCTGAACGGCTACATTTTCGCATGGTAGCACTTGGCTTGCAGCAGTAAATTCGGATCGGTTTTCTGTCTCCTTTCTTTAGGGCCATGAGCAGATGCGTGATGGTGATGCGGGTGCGATGTGCGTCGTCTGGATGCCGCTGCCACTTCTGTGCCTTTTGACAGTGAGATCGTGCCGCCGTACGACAGCAGCACGTTCATCATGAACCACTTCAGCTCGCTGCAGAGCAAGGCGGACCCCGTCTACTCTCCGCCGCTCCACGTCAGCGGGTACGGCTGGCCCGCGCCGCGTGGCCCTGGCGACAGCGCGGGGCCGGCTGGGGGCGACTCGCTCCGAAGTAGGGCAAAACATTGTCGGTGTCCGCAGCGCATCAGCTGGTGAAATCGTCCGGAACTCGCGAATGGGCTCGTTAATATGGCACCCATCGGCGGTCACTCCTTACCCGGCGAGTAACGGGACGCAGCTGGGCCAGCCTGCCTCGGCATCTGACTGAGAGCCCCGTGACGCTCGCCGCCGCGATCTGATGGGATCCTCGCCGCGGTCACGACCTCTGGTGACGCTCACCACCGCGATCTGATGGGATCCTCGCCGCGGTCACGACCTCTGGTGACGCTCACCACCGCGATCTGATGGGAGCCTCGCCGCGGTCACGACCTCTGGTGACGCTCACCACCGCGATCTGATGGGAGCCTCGCGGCGGTCACGACCTCTGGTGACGCTTGCCGCCGCGATCTGATGGGACCCTCGCCGCGGTCACGACCTCTGGTGACGCTCGCCGCCGCGATCTGATGGGATCCTCGCCGCGGTCACGACCTCTGGTGACGCTCACCACCGCGATCTGATGGGAGCCTCGCGGCGGTCACGACCTCTGGTGACGCTTGCCGCCGCGATCTGATGGGACCCTCGCCGCGGTCACGACCTCTGGTGACGCTCGCCGCCGCGATCTGATGGGACCCTCCAGTCGTCGCGACCTCTGGTGACGCCCGCCCCGCTGCCGGCAGCCTCTCGTGGCGACTCAAGGTGTACCCGGATGGCAACGGCGTGGTGCGCGGCAACTACCTGTCCGTCTTCCTCGAGCTGAGCGCCGGTCTGCCCGAGACGTCCAAGTAAGGTGGCCCGTCCACTCGAGACAGGCAGGCAGGCTCGTATATGAATATCTGTCACTTTCGGAGGTATCGTGAACCACAATTTTGACTGATATTACCGATGTAAGTGGCATGAATGCTTTGACAAGGCTACTATTATGACACTTCTTTTCCACTATATATATATATATATATATATATATATATATATATATATATATATAACGAACATTCTGTCTTGCTACGCTTCAGTTCTACTTGAACCTGCTTCAGTCTCAGCAACCCGTTCCTCCCACGTCCTATCGTGAAACTCATGTAAAACTAATAATCGACACATGTCTATTGGTTGTGAGGTAGGTCTTTGCTAGGACCCTTCTTCAACACGTCTTGTATGTAACTTTTTTCATTGGGTCTTCCGTGAAGGTGTGATGTTTCCAGAATATCAATCCACTTATCTGAGCCTCCTATGTACCACATTTTTGCTCCGCACCCCCTCGAAGCCAATAAATTTGACATCAGTAATCGAATGGCCCAGTGAGTTAAAGTAGATGGATGCAGGGTAGTCCCAAGTGCTTTGAGTTGTCTAAAACGTGTTGTATATTTTTAAGCATTTGTCTGCAGTCAGGTAAAAGACTGTAGTATGTTATAACGATTGGGACCCGTGCCAACATTTCTTTCATTCTCGATGGATTGCTGCTGTCAAAAAGATGCACACGCTCATTTGTGTTGACCCTGTCAAAGCTATTGTTAACTACTCGTCGAGATACCACGGTTTTTGAAGACTAGCTTTCAGATCTTGCCGGATATAATCAGAATAATATCCGGCAAGATAATCAGTATAATCCAAGATAGTCAAGATAACAAGATCCGGCAAGATCAAATCATTTTGGCCGCTACAGATTCTTTTCAGCGCATAGCTAGTCGTAGAGGCAGGACATTTTTGGTGTGTTAAGGATGACCTGATGAAAAAGGGAGGTAGCTTTTGCTGTCGGATGATTTTGAGAACAAATCAGTTCGGATGTAGAATAAGTCGCCTAAGATTCCAAAAAAAATGTCATCGATGCATATTAAGTAAACCAACGACTCATGTTCCGATTTCTAAGCGGAGGGAGCAACAGGAGCATCAGCATCATCAACAGGAGCGATGGTTGGTGGTGGTCTCTGAGCTATCGAGGAGGAAGTTAACATCACCTGAATTATCCATGCCAAGCAAAGGCTTGAACTGCGTTCCCATAAAGAAACCATCAACTACGAAAAATTTTCGCTGAAGTAAAGGACTGTTTGAACGTTTGATACGGCGACGGGAGGCGGGGTGAAGTCGGTGAGGATACTGATGCTGGGGACCAATATATCAGATGCGATCAGGTCTCATCACAAGTGTATCCCGACCCTCTTTTGCATGACTGTGAGGAGACCTCAGCGTTCCGTTGCGGAAGAGGATTGTGGCATACCTACGGGCGCTATACCAACGCGCATCGCCAAAAATTCCAACGGAAGCGTACTGAACATCATTGAGCTTGTTTTAGGGAACAACTTTAACCTGGGATCAGACGCGCTCTTAATGCAAGTTAAAGGCACAGCAAGAGGCTCAAATTTCGGAATAAATTTTGCGCGCACATATTTGGAAGCGAGGGAATCAGAATAAATCTGATCAGAAATCGGACCTCAAACCGTTGGTTCTCTTCAGATATAATATCGTGGACAATCTTGGAATAGGGAGGCGTGATCAGGAGGCATTAAAACAGTGTCATAGCGTTGCAAACAGGATACACACAAAAATTCCTGTTAACCTCCGTTAATCCGAAACTCATATACAGTTATTAGACGTGATTGTAAGGCTTAAAGACAGTCCTATCCGCACTAATTTTTTCTTGGCTGCGCGACTGAAGGGATTCTTCAGTGGCCAGAATGATTATATCCGACATAGATGTGACGTGAAAGCTAGGCGTTAGAAATGGCGGTATTTTTTGTTTAACGACATAGTGGTTAACAATGCTTTGGCGTCGTCGACGAAGCTGAGCGTGAGCATCTTTTTTGGCAGCCAAAAATAGAGCAAGAATGAAAAATGTCGTGTACGTATGGTCGAACGATTGTAAGCAAAATAAGTAGTGTTACATATGGTGTCATTTGTAATGTGTGTAAATGTGCTTGTTGTATCAAGAAGACAGGGGGTTCTTATACACCTTTCCGGCAAAACGTTCATGAACTATCAGGTCAGGGCTGTTCAGACTGGAGCAGATTCCGATTGAACCGAGGTGTATCGTGGGCAGAATGTTGGTATTTTACTACTAACGGACATAGTGGAATATATATATATATATATATATATATATATATATATATATATATGTGCGTGCGTGCGTGTGTATATATATGTGTAAACATATATGTGTATATATATATATATATATATATATATATATATATACACATAAGGTGACAGCGTCTGTCGATATGTGAAGTGGTGGAACGCGGTGGGAATTGCCGATGATGGAGGTGTGCGATGATGTCGATGGTGAGACGCACCGTGCGCCGCCTCAGATACGAGTACCGCGTGGAGATGATCCACCAGGGGTCGCGCGACGCCAGCAAGAACATCGTGCGCGAGTTCGCCTCCGACTTCGAGGTTGGCGAGTGCTGGGGCTACAACCGCTTCTTCCGGCTGGACCTGCTGGCCAGCGAGGGATACCTCAACACCGACACGGACACGCTCATACTGCGGTACGTTGGCCGTCGACCGCGCCAGCGCCGGCGCGACAGCGGGCGCTAGGGGATCTGGCGTGTGCTGCAGGACGTTCGATTGTGTCTTCGTTCGACCGGGCGGTGCACCGACTGCGGTGTTCATCAGTGACGGCACGCTTGTCCGTCCGCTGGCACGTGTCACATCCGAGGACGGCCCGGCCCGGCCCAGTTCGAGGACACTCAGCTGGGCGCCGTCGCCGGGCCGTCGGCCTGTCCCCTGTGGTGTCGGTGCTGGGAGCACACGGACTCCCAGAGAGCGAGCGGTGCGTCGCGCCTCCTCCGTTCACCGCTCACTGCCGCTGTCCCCCCAGGTTCCAGGTGCGGCCACCCACGTTCTTCCAAAAGTGCCGCGACCAGCAGTGGTACATAAACCAGCTGCAGACCATCCAGACCCAGTACGTGGCCCAGATCAACGACCTGAAGGAGGTGAGTGGACTCAGTGTGGGCTGCGGACCGCGCTGCGATGCGTGTTTGCGCTGGGAATCGGTCGTTGGAATCGGTTTGCGCTGGGAATCGGTCGCCGGAATCGGTTTGCTGCGGGGAATCGGTCGCTGGAATCGGTTGCGGCGGGGAATCGGTCGCCGGCGTTCAGACGACCGTGGTGCGGGCCAGCCGATGTGTAGCACGGGCCGCTGCGTGTGCTCGTCGTCAGGTGCTGGTGGATCGGCTCCACGGGCAGCCAGAGCGGTGTGTCGGTCCGGCGCTGTTGTCTGTTCGAGTGGCACAGGCCACAGTCAGGCAGCGGGCCGCACGAGCCGGCGACAGCGGCCGTGTGCGGTCCGGTGTGTTGCCAAGTGACCGGTCCGTTACTGCCGCTCGTGGGACCGGCGAGCGCGCCGTCTGCCGGCCCGGACGTGGCGTCTAACCGCCATCCCGCCATCAGCGGATCGCCATGGAGATGACCCGCGGCACCAGCGGCAAGGGTACGCCCTCGGGCGACTGTCACCAGCTGATGGAGGCCGGCCTGGGGCCGACCAGCATCAAGGGACCGGCGCCGCACCCACACCCGCTGCCGCTGCCCAGGCCCAAGCCGGCGCGCGCCCGCAAGGTGCAGACGCTCAACGTCGAGCTGGAGGCCGAGCGCCAGAGTAACAGCTCTAGCGACTCGGAGGTGAGTCTGCCGGGCGGCGGCGGGCGTCTGCCACGCGCTGCCACAGCGCACCGCGGCGAGAAGGCGGCGTACGGGCCGTTTGGGTAGCGTGCCGCACTCACGGCGATCGAGCGGCCGCTGGTATGGGTGGATTTTTCTCAGCAGCGCGGGTGTCGGACGCCGGGAGTTCGAGACCATTGCGATGTGTGGACTCCAGTCCCAGTAAGACTGTCCGCATTTTGTGACAGGAAATGTCTGCATCACGGCAGCTGTGTCACGGCCGAGCACGCGGAGGCTGGGAGTAGTGCCCGCTCCGAGATTGAGGCAACATTACTCAGCTACTTACTACATTAATGACCACAGAAGTCAATATTGCGAACGCCCTTTGACGGAACAGTCGGTGTCAAAGTTTCTGCTTAGTTAAGGTTAAAATCCCTTTGTTTTCCGCTTACTCCCCCCCCCCCCCCTCTCCGCAGACTTGATATGGCATTCACGACGAAATCGAATGAAGATTACTCTGGTCTGCAAACGTGGTGCAGTGCGCGCACGCAATATTTGCACCCAGTCCAAGACCGTATATAAGCAGATATAACCACCTGTCCATAACAAGTGTCTTTATTGTGACGTCGCTGAAAACTGAGGAAGGAAACGAGTGGAGGTATCGAAGGGGAACATATTGTGCAGCGTAATACTCTAAGGATGGACACTCGCGTATGCTCTGCTGTAACGCAACCACCTAATAATCCAGTAGTCCTATACCCATCTCGCAGTGTTTCGCTGCGTGTATCCTTTACACCAACACTTAACTTGTCCTGCCACAAAGTCAATTTCGTCCCCGGAGAGAAAGCAGTGTCGATTGTGTGCCTTTGCATTGCGGCGGGCTGCCATTTTGCCACCTGCCACCTCTACATTTTGTTGCAGGACATCAGTGAAGGAGAAAACGATGTGTTTGAAGTATTCGAACCGTCTCTTACGCACACGGACGAGAATTCCAACGATGAAAACGATGTGGACGACGAGGCAATGTCAGGTAACAGCCGGCGAACGGATTCGTCGCCAATGTGGCACCGGCCCTTTGGTGCCATTGTCATGGTTAGGTTAATGGCGTGCTTCGCTTCACTTCACTGACATGCTTCACTTCACCTAAGTTATCAGAATCTTGTGCATGTGATTTCTTCCAGGTCGTTAAATAGATCAATGCTTAGATAAGATTTGTATCACTATTTAATCCATTGGTATGAGACGGCAGTAAAGTGGTCCGTCTTTGGTATGGTACCTTGTGGTTATGGTGTGTGCTTTTCCGGTGGTCATGCCGCGCAACGTCTCTGTATGAGGTGACAGTAATGTGGATCGCTCTCTGACTGTCGACAATATATTGGAGTGCTCTCTGATTGTCGACAATGACTTGTAGCGCTTTCTGACTGTCGACAATACCGTGGAGCGCTCTCTGACTGTCGACGATAACGTGGAGCGCTCTCTGACCGTCGGAAGTAACGGGGAGCGCTCTCTGACTGTCGGCAATACCGTGGGGCGCTCTCTGGCTGTCGATAATACCATGGAGCGCTCTCTGCCTGTCGACGATAACGTGGAGCGCTCTGACCGTCGGAAGTAACGGGGAGCGCTCTCTGATTGTCGACAATAGCGTGGAGCACTCTCAGACTGGCTGCGTGTCTCCCCCCGCATTAGGCGACAATGACGTGGAGCGCTCGCTGTCCGGCTGCCGGCCGTCGCTGGGCGGCTCCGACCAGCTCAGTCTTCTGGGCGACTCGCTGCTCTCGGCCGAGCTGGACTCGCTCTCGGACACGATGGGCGCCGTCGGCGGCTGTGACCCGTGCACCGTCACCTCCTCCGCCCAGGACGACCAGGTCAGCCGGCCGGCGCCAGCGCGCCCTTGGCTCTTTACCGTGGCGAGGCTAGCTGTCATGAGAAGTTGATTTGTGGGAGCTGGTGTAGTCATTGGAGGTGGATGCGAAGAGAAGACGTGTGCCTTTCTTTTGCGGGAAGACTGTTCGGTGGAGGCAGTTAGTTTACTTTGATGGCGGTGCAGCGAAAAAGGATCGTTGTGGACCTGTCTCATGGTTGCGGATGCGCCTATGTTTTTCTAGCATCTTCGGTTGGACCGTACATGAATCTCTGGATGCCGTATGGTAGAGGAGTAGGAGCATAACAGCTGACCAGCCAGTCAATCAGACAGCATAGAAGACGAAACACAAAATATGTTTCAGCGTATCTTGCAGATTTGTATTAGGGGCATAACTGTGTTTCCGTAGCGTTGAAATTCTAACGTGTTTTGAAAGTAACATTATTTTGGCCGGATGTTATGCTTTTGTGAGACTAGCAAGACTAGACTAGAGATTACAAGACGTTTGTTGGCTTCAGGCTCCTCCCAACAGTGTTCAGTTTCGTCATGCTGTGGTCAGATGGTGCTCTGGAGGTGGCGAAGATGCCCCAATCACTCCACGTGCCTGCGGCGGGACCGCATCGAGCACCGCCTCCTCGGGAGCACCGCCTCCCGTCTCAACTCCACCCCGGCACGCCGGACCGCCGTCGACACTCTTGCTCTCCGTGCCGCAGGTGATGCTGCTGCACCTGCTGGACATGCAGGAACGCTCGTCGGCCGGCGGCCGGTACCGGGCCTGCGCGCGACCCCGCTCCCGCTCGCTGCGCCGCCCTCTGGTGACGGCCAACAGCGTGCTGCACACCCTGCAGCTGGACCGCGCCCTCGACGGCTCCAAGCTGGCCGATCAGCTGGTGGCTCGTGAGTGTCGGCGGCGCCGCGCAGTGTCGCCCTTGGCGGGCCGCGAGCGCGGGGCGAGTGTCGCCGCGCGATGCGATGTTGGTCTGTTAGCTCGAGCCGGCGGGCGGTGGACGGGGTGTGAGTTGCCGGTGAGTCGCTGGCGAGTACTGCTAGGCGGCCGGCGAGAATTGTACTGGGCATTGGCGCTGTCTGAACGAGTACTCGCGATGTCAAATGTTCGCCAGCAAATGCGCACGCGGTAATCTTGGCTTGCCGGGAAGTCACGCTTGACGGCGTGCGGCGCTGCGCGGCGGTGACTGGATGGTGTGCTGTCGTGTGCCGCCAGTGAACCTGTCATCGGACCTGCACTGCGGCGGTCTGAAGACGAGCGCCGAGCCGGACCAGGCACCGGCGGCGGCGGCAGCGGCAGCGGCGGTGGCCGCAGCCGCGGCCGGGCCGGACCTGGGCCTGGCGCTGGACCCGGTGTCGCCCGAGCAGCCGGCGGCGCGGCCGGCCGACGGCGAGCCCACCAGGGCCGGCGGCGAGCCCACCAGGGCCGGCGGCCGAGGCGCCTGGCGCGGCGGGTACGTGTGGTCCGGCGCTGCGGCGCGGCAGCGAGGAGTCTGTCGCACGACGGGTTGGCGTCATGTGGCTGCGGAGCATGTCGTGTGGTCACGCGTTGCGTTCGTACTGTCATGCTGCGTCCGTCAAACACAACTATACAGCTATTGTCTAGCCACCTAGCTCCCATGGTGCGGCTGTCCAATGTCTTCGTACGGCCCTGTAGTGCCTGTCACGTGTCCACATACACGGTTTGTTTCACGGTCGCACAGTGCATGTCACGCGTCCATAATATCGCACGGCTACGCAGCTTGCGTCGTAGGTCGCCCAGCGTCCTCGGTGCAGTCACACAGTGTCTTATCACGTGACCACGCAGACTTGACCACCTTGCGGCCGTGCTGCATCTGTCAGTGAGTAGCACTGCGCCTGTCGCAGGGTAGCACGGCGACTGTCACAAGGTGGCACTGCGCCTGTCGGGGGGCAGCACTGCGTCTGCCATAGGGTAGCACTGGGTGTGTGCGGTCTCCTGGAGGTTCACCACCCATTGTCATGGCGAGTATTGCGCCCTCCAAGTTGGACCGTAAGCCCGTGTTGTCAGCTTGCGGCCTTATCTGTGCCGTCGGCCGGAGCGGTGCCCGCTCGATGGGGCGCTGGGCGGCCGTGTGTCCACTCTGTGGCCGAGCACCGCCGCGCCGCCGACCGACGGCGACTGACGTGACCGTCGTGCCCGCAGGCGGGCGGTGACGGCGGCGGTCAAATCTGAGCCGACCGCGGGGCCGTCGCGGCTGCCGCCCACGTCACCGCCGCCGGCGCCGTCCACGCCGCCGGTGCCTCTGCCAGTGTCTGACCGCGACCGGGGCCCGGAGCCGGGCACCAACTGAGGCCTCCTCCCGGAGCGGCCGGCGCCGGAGACAGGGTCAGGCTCCGCCGGACACCAGCCGAGGCCTCCTCTCGGAGCGGCCGGCGCCGGAGACAGGGTCAGGCTCCGCCGGGCACCAACTGAGGCCTCCTCCCGGAGCGGCCGGCGCCGGAGACAGGCTCAGGCTCCGCCGGGCACCAACTGAGGCCTCCTCCCGGAGCGGCCGGCGCCGGAGACAGGCTCAGGCTCCGCCGGACACCAGCCGAGGCCTCCGGTCTGCCAGCTCGTGCGTCGGCACCGGAGCTGTGCGGACAGACTGGGTGAGGGCGGCGACGGCTGACTGTGGGCCTGCCCCATCCTCGGTCTCAATCAGGCCGTCGTGCAGGACGCGGCGCTCTGATCTGCTGCTGCTGCGCGTCTCCGCCGCAGACTGGACGGTGCAGGCGCACAGGCGGAGTGAAGGCTCGGCCCTCTGATCTGCTGCTGCTGCGCGTCTCCGCCGCAGACTGGACGGTGCAGGCGCACAGGTGGAGCGAAGGCTCGGCCCTCCGATCTGCTGCTGCTGCGCGTCTCCGCCGCAGACTGGACGGTGCAGGCGCACAGGCGGAGCGAAGTGGCGCGCTGAGGCGTGACCGGGCGTCAGTGTCCTGGCGTCCTGTCGCGTGTTTATCTCCTGCCTTCTGCCGCGACGCGCGTGTGAAGCGCCGCGGACCAGGGGAGTCTCCGTCGCCGTGCTGACTTTGTGCAATGTGTGCGCCGGTGGGTCCGACTACGCCCGGTGTCGGCGGCCGGCTCAACTCCGCTGACGAGGGCGGCTGGGGTAGGCTGCGGAGTCACGGGGAGGGGTAGGGGTCGAGCGTCACCCACCGGGGGACGCGGCTCTCGGCGTGCGCGGATCTGTAGTAGCTTTAACGTGTGCTCTTGTGTGGGTGTGTTTGGGAGGGCGTCGCCAGCACAGGCGACGCGTCGTTATCTGATAGCGGACGTCTGAGACGCCCCTCCAACAACCTGTATCGCTGTGATATGCAGAATGTCATTCCTTCTCTCCTGGGGAGTGGGCGTCACGCTTGTGGCAAACTCGCTCGTGCAGCTCGAGGAAAGGGTGATCGGTGCAGGCGTGTGTTACCGTCGTTCCCGGCTTGGAAGGTGACAAATAAATAAGGTGATCGTTCTAGAATAAGCGGGACTGCAACTTATCTATTACTCATGGCCATATTCACATTCAAAGACGAACCCCTGCAATTTTGCTCTGATGCGTGCCAAGAGCAGTGTTTGAGATGCTGATTACAATGGTGCTTCTCGTTTCCCACCACATTCCAGACCAGGACCCCCGCAAGGCTATGAAGTTCAAGGTCGCTGAACCCGGACCCCACGATTTTTGCGAAAGTCATCAACGACAGAGCTTGACAAGCCCATAACGGTGGTGCAACTTGTTTCGAGACACATTTAAAACCATAACCGTCAGAAGTGTAAGAAGTCCCAGGTCGTTGAACCTGGACCCTACAATTATTCGAAAGTTCAGAGACATGAGACATTCAGAGACAATGTTTCTTTTTATTGCACGTTGAGGCCTTAAATTATAATATCGCACGCCAAATTCCACGTCGGCGATATTTACGTTTACATTGATTGATCCTCTTAAATGGATGGATTACTGGGATCAAAATTTACGCCCATACAGCAAACGGCACTTGCTGTATGAGCCCTCACTGCCACCACCCGATCGTGCAATTTCATGTCAACGGCATGATCAAGTGGCGAAAGTTAAACGCGCGGCAGTGCACGGCACGAACCGCCTGCCTTCTGGCGGTTCACATATCACGTCACATGAGCTCATAACGTGGCCGCCGCCACCGGCCGCAAGCCATGCCTGTCAAGGGCAAGCAGCGCGCGCCCACAGCGATTCGAGCCCGGTGGCTGGATCGGAAGGCCGGCGCTCTAACCAACTGAGCTATCGGGACGGACAGATCCTTACCAATCGTAGTGTTAAACGTGATTACGATGGCGGATCTCTTGCACCGAGTTATCAAGTGTCGCGCTTTTTGCGCTGATGGTCAGTGACGTCTCCCTCAGTCTGTTGATCGCTCCCTGCTCGTCGACGATGTTGCCATGTGGTGCAGCTCTCTTCTATACCCTCCATGGAATGTCAGGTGGCTGGCCGTGACGGACTTGGAGAGACAGGTGATATTTAATGGTTTTCACTTGACAGTAAGGGTGCACTTTTCTCGCTGCCGTGGCCGCTGCCCGGATGGGGCGATTCGACTCTATGGCGAGACGATCTCGTCGGAGCCAGGGGCGGATCCAGGACTTCGTCAAGGGTGGGGGGGGGGGGATGGGCACGCAACATTGTGGTCCCCTCAGAGTTTTGGGTCTGCTTCTCCCAACATTCTTGTATTTTGGCTATTAAATTTGAGATTCTTATATGTGCTATTTTTATACGGAGACCCATCTTACCGTGCGCAGCCCTAAAAAAATTAGGCGTACGACGCACACGAATGCAAAAAGCTTGTTCATATTCTCCAGATCATGTTGCATCATGTTATTTTGAGGCCAAGTATTTCAGAGAAAACATGAATTAATGCACTTGAGGTGGCTGATAATATCATCAAAGTCAAGCAGGAGCGTATTCCTAACTTTTTGCGGCTGGCCGGCTGGTCGATGTGATCAGCTGATGGCTTATGTTTGACGCCTTTTTTGTTTTGATTGTTATGAGGCAGTACACGATATCGTAGCACTCGAAATATTTTAGGAACGTGTCCCACAAGTTTTTTAAGCGTCATAAGTTCACTAACCAATGGAAATAAATGCACGGCGCCAGCGGCGCGTGAAATTATGTTCGACACTTACGCGTGAAAATTCGTTAGCGCATACCCGACTGCTTCTCTAAGGCTAACGTGCCGTGGGAAATCGTCATCCTGCGATCTCGGACTTGTGTGCGCGAAGTAATTTAGCCAGGCCCGTCGACACCAGCAGGCGAAACGCCCTGGCGCTTGCAAGCACATATGGGGCTCTCAGCGATAAAGTAAGATCCCTCTGACTTCATCGAAAGAGCCCACGGCCATTCAGGAGGGCCCCAGAGCGATCAAGGGTGCCCCAGCCAGTTGATATCGAGTTTCGGCGCGGTGGTGGTATAATGGTTAGGGCGCTCGACTCGGATCTGTCGGCGTGGGCTTTAGGCCCCAGCCACACCACCACCGTTTCCCACATGATGCCTAATAAAGGCATCCGTTTTGAGATGTCCCCGGCAGCCAGTAAGACGTAAAGCTCCAAATCCATATTGTTAAGATTAAAGTTCCTGTCAACGGCGTAGGTTCTCGTATGCTATGGGAAAACCCAAGACCAATAGCGACGGCACCTGAGCGATCGAGGGTGACGCCGCAGGCCAACAAAGAGGCTCCCGTCAATAGTATTGGGTCCTCGATGCAAGCGAGAAGAATCCAAGACCAATATGGTGGAACCCTTGAACGATCGGGAGCAACCCGACAGGGTAACATATAGGGTCTGGCCGGAGCACAGGACCCTCTCAGCAGAGGGGAATAACCCAATACCAGTGAACATTAATTAATGCCCTTGCGCGACAAAGACTGCCCGGGCAGGGCCCTCCACCCTGACGAGTTGAAGGGTCCTCCTCAAATGAGCTTAAATGAAAAGGGCCCCAGATCAATATATGAGGTCCCTGGGCATCGAGTGCCTCGCTGCATCACTTATATGGGCGCAAGCAACAGCACAGAGCACTCCGAGTAAGTGAAAAAAACCCGATACCAGTGAGAAGGGTCCCTGAGCTACCGAGCGTACCCCGGCATGTGGGGCGCCGGCAATAGCGTATAGAGCCTGTCGGGCGAATGTGAAGAATCCGTGCAGGGCTCTTGATCGATTAACAGAGTCAAGGTATACCAGCAGAGAGTAGGGCCCTACTATGGCAAGACCCTTCATTCTAATAGCAAGTACCCAAGGCCAAATGTATAGGGCCCCCGAACAATCCAATGCACCCCAGTAGGCTAACAAATGGAACCTCGACAGGAGCGTAGGAATCTCCATTCTAATGGGAGGTACCCAAAACCTAATGTGAAAGACCCCGATCGATGGATCGTGCCCAAGCGGGTTGACAGATGGAGTCCCCGACAGGAGCGTAGAGCTCTCCGCAAGTGACAGGGAATTGGAAAGGCCCTACACCAAAGTAGAACACATTCGGGGTCTAAGGAGTAGGAGGGGGGGGGGGACATGGCCCCGTGACCAGCCCCCTCTGGATCCACCTCTGGTCGGAGCCCGTTGTTCGCTGCCTCGGCGCGCAATTTGACCGTCGCCTAACTACAAAGACCATGTAAAGGCCCCGCGAACACATTGTTTTAAAACTCCAACGTCCTGCACTACATTGCACGCACGCCGTATGATGCGGACACGGGAACACTTTTACTGTTTTATCTTTTCCTGATCAGATTGGAGCTCGATCATGCTTCTATTGTTTGCGACAGGGCTTGTGATTCAGTCAAGTGTATATATCCATATTGACATATAATGCATGTATATTAACACAAAAAAATACGGTGAATGAAATTATGTATATTCATATATATATATATATATATATATATATATATATATATATATATATATATATATATTCACGTATATATTCACCTTAAAATACGGAGCACAGACCACTATGATTTTGCTCAGATTTATGCCAATTGTAGTGTCCGACATGCTGATTGCGATGGTGCGCCTCATGTCCCGCCAAATTCAAAACTATGAGCTCCAGCATCTACTAAGTTCAAGATTGTTAAGTCCATGCCCCTACGAAATTTCCGAAACTCATGCCAGTGAAAGAGGTAAATATGTCGATTGTGATAGTGCATCTCGCTTCGAGCCACATTAAAAACCATAAAGGCAGAAGTGTGCAAAGCTCGCAGCCGGTGCACCCGGACCCCTGTAACTTTGCTAAAACTCATCAATGATAGAATTTGGAATGCAGATTACAATCGTCTCGTTTACTGCGGCATTCCAAAATATGGTATCCAGAGGTTCACAAAGTTCAGTCATCCAACCCGGACCCCTACGATTTTTCCCAAAACTTATCAGCTATGGAGCTTGACATGGAGCTGCTTACGCTCGCGCATTTCGTTTCCCGTCTGATCAAAGACCATCACCGCGAAGGGTGTGCAAAATTAAAGTACGCTGTGCAGACCGCTGCGATCTTTCTCAAACTCATTTCAAAGGTAGCATGTGCCCAATGGTTTTCTATACTTTTCAAAAGTGCGGTCCGTTGGTTGTTCCGCACGTGGAATACACATCCGTCCGATCCGTTCATAACAGCGTCCTGGAGGCAGGCTATCCCACAGGCAGCGGAAGCTATGCTGATGATATACAAAGGTAACACCGTAAGCTTTAGAGAGGCAGCGTTGATCAAATCCCGAGTCAAACGTCTGCATAGCGCGGACAGGTGCCGTGCCAAAAACTCGTATGGCCAAGCCGATGGCGTACTAAACCGCGGTGTCGCCAAACAATGTATACATCGTCCAAGGCGCACAACTCCAGTTATCATAACCTGTTTTCCAAGTGGAAATAAACAAAGGTTCAGCTTTCAAATGCTGTACTCTGAATGCCAGAGCCTCATGAAAACCCGCTCTGGTCGCGGCTGTCAGCGCCTGTTCCCAAAGAATACATTTTAGGTGTCACTTTCAACTTATTAGGTAGGGCAAATTTAGAAGAAGTAGGCAGCACTTTCGAGAGACTAGCTCGTGTTATCATCCGCAAACAATTTTACCTGTTTCAGGAAGCCGTGAAGTTTCCATGCGGGGAACAACAAGCTGACCGCACTTTGAAAAAACGTAGAAAACCATAGGTCGCACAGAAGAACCATTGGATATCATTTAGTCCGAAGCGTACCCGATTCTGAAAAGTTGAAAAATTAGTGGAATCGCTCAAAGGGAATGTTGCTCATATGAAGATATTGAAGCGACAGAGACCATGAAACAGGCTCACTTATAACTATTACTATATTTCTACGAGGAAAAGACTGCTCTCGACAACACAACAATTTCTCTGTTTGGTAAATATGTTTCTCAATGCGTCATTGCTGGATTACGTCATTGTAACCTTAATAGCATTGATACAGAGCAATTGGACGACTGTTACACCTGGAAATCGTGCTCACAAACGTCAGAAATTGACGACTCGACAATTGTATTTGTCTTGGCCTTGGTCACCGCATGTTCATTGGAATCGCAGGCTTTCAATAGTGTTTATGATGGTGCCATAGATGGCTGGGCGACCTTGAAATAGTGTCCCTGAAAAAGGCTGCACACCTCCGCGGGCGCGTAGCTCAGAATCTAGAGAGGTGTGGTCTTAAGAAGGGCGGGGCCGTGGGCTGCACCAAATGATCTTCAAGACGGCTATTTCAGTTCATAACTTCATGCAAATATCACAAACGCCCGTTAAAGAGGTAGACGCAAAATTGGGCAGTCCCAAAATGGGTGTAAGCTTCGAAACCAAATTCACGTTCCTGTAAAAAAATGGTTGTCATCCACAAAATCAAGTCCTCTTCCCCAAATGGACCGTCGGAAAGACAACCAATTTTTTCCTGTAACACGCCAGTCTCCGCCGGGAGAAAGCAGTCTCAAGCGACGGAACTAAAAAACAAATTGGTCTGCTTTCGTTTTGGTATCCGCGTTAACCTTTTAACATGCAACATCGAACTTGCAACATAAAACTTGTGACATCAAAGCAAGCAGTACCATGCGCCCTCACGAAATCGATGGACAAATGATCGTCGTTCCATTTGGGCTATTTCCACTAAAAAAAAACATATACCCATACCCGGGCCTCTAAGGGTGGGCAGACAAACCTGATGTAACAAGCTATCGCTCACGATTTTCCCCAATGTCTTTTGAACAGATAGAAAGCAAGGGCACAGCCCTGTAATTTTAGGGCAGCTTTTTGGACCCCTTATAGTGCGTCGGTATCATGTCTGCTTGCTTCCACATGACAGGGAAGACGCCCGAGTTTAGAGGAAGCTTGCATGACACAGTCTGATTCGAGCCCATTCACGTGTCTGAAATCCACATCAGTGACGGCAAACGGCGCCAATAACTATTTTTGTCCACAGGAGGTTGTCAGTCTGCATTTGTTGCAAAATGACACTCTTAAATGATCCTAGACTACCGCTAACTTGACGTAACCAATGCTCATAATCCCTAACGAGCCAACCAAAGCAGCGTAGCCGACGTTCAGGGTTCCACAGACACATCAGGCAATATCATGACTGCGCAGCCGCCGCCCACGCGAACGCAGCGGCGGGGCGGGCGACTGTAGGGAAGCCGCCGTCCGTACCCGACATCTGACCTTGACGCCGCCGCACCGGTCGTCTGGGCAGGCATCTCTGACTGCGCCGCATCCCCACGGCCAGTTCACCGCCCGCTCTCAACGGGGGCGCGGGATGGATGGCACGCCGCGCGCGCCGCGACAGCGCTGCGCCGTCGCCGCTGCCGCCCGGCAGGACGACGAGAGGCACGGCTGGACCAGCCGGTTCCTGCGCTACCCTCCACACCGGCAGCGATGGTTCTGGGATAAATCCAGCGTGCCGTGGCTTCAGGTGAGCATCTCGACTGAGGTGGAGAGCACTATGGCGCGACCCGCCGCTGGAGGCTCGCGTCGGGCCAGCCTCCGCCAGAGGGTGGTCACGCATACGGTCATATGGCGGTGACGCGCCTGAGGCAATGATCTAGGCGAGTCGCGTGTTGGGCGGTCGTTCTAATCACCTCAGTGAGGCGCTCTAAGGGGGGGGGGGGGGGGTTCGCGATGCCCAGCAGCTCGAAACTCTGCTGTCTTTCCTGATTATTCCTGCTTGTTTGGGCTCTGCCCTGTCCTGAGTTGTCACGGAGTCGATGCGAAGTAGCCCTCGCGGATCTAGATGTGGTGGTATGGTCGGACGTGGTTTGTTCGTGAAAGGAGATCCCGAGTCTTGCGTAAGCAAAGGATTACTACTACCATTGCGTCAGACTATTCAAATTCTGATCGACCGCAAGCGGCTCTCAAGAGGTGAAACACGTTTGGTTTGTCCGGGTTTGCATGCCACCGTTCCTGATCGTTAGCCGTTGCTGTTATGTTAGTTATGCTTTACCGCTGGCGCCAGGGGGCGTCGTTTTGGGGTCGTATCAGTTCGCATGAATACACCAACGGTCAGCAGGGATAAACGGGAGCCGTGAAAGAGTTTGACCATGAGTAATTATGAAGATTGCGATAAGAGGCGCTGCTGAAGCCGCCGTGAAACCCAGAAACGCTGCACGTCGCCTAGCTGTCGGAGGCCGAACGGTTTGCTGGGATCGTAGTCACGGAACAGCCTCGAACAAAGCATTTTCGCCTCAGCCGTCATAGGACCATGTGACGTCGCAAACACGCTCTTTGGCGGACTGGGCAAAACAGGCACTGTAAGGTGTAGCTCTAGACTTGTTCGTGTAAATATTGCCTTGACACTCTCCCCTCCCCGCCAATGCCCCTTTATATCAGCCGCTCCCGCCAACAGGACAAGCGCGTGGCCGACGACGTCGGTGACCTCTGGCGCGTTCACGACGACCTCTACGACCTGAGCGCGTTCGCGGCCCGGCACCCGGGCGGCCGGTTCTGGATCGACGTGACCCGGGGTCAGGACATCACCGAGCTGTTCGAGGCGAGCCACTGTCTGATGACGGGCAGCACCGGAGCGCCTGCTGGCGCAGCACCACGTGCGCGCCGCACACCAGCCACGCAACGCGCCCTACACGTTCCTCGAGGACGGCTTCTACCGGACGCTGAAGCGGCGCGCGGCACCTGTGCTGCGTCGCCTGGGCACCGGGCCGGGCCTGGCGACCCGAGTCATCGCCGACACGTGCGTGGGCGCGTTTCTGGCGGCGTCGGCGGCGTCGGTGCTGCTGCGGTCGCCGCTGCTGGCGCTGGCGGCCGGTGGTGCGCTGATGCTCGCCATCGGCACCGGCCACAACTTCCTGCACCAGCGCGACAACTGGCGCATGTTCTACCTGGACCTGTCGTTCCTGTCTTCGGCAGAGTGGCGCGTCTCGCACGCGCTCAGCCACCACATGTTTCCCAACACGCTGTACGACCTGGAGGTGACACAGTTGGAGCCGCTGGTGCTGTTCTTCACGCACGCCAAGAGCCGGCTGCGCCGTGGACTCGGCCATCTCGTACTCTACCACATCCCCATCCTGCTCACCTTCTTCGTGGAGGGACTGAAGCGCACGCTGCGCTGGCTGCGCGGCGAGCAGCGGCCGCGGCCCGAAAATATTCTGCCGCTGCTGCACCTACTGCTGCTCACGATGCTGGCCAGTCTGCCGGCCCAGCCGGCCGGCGGCGGCTGGCTGGCGGCCGCGGCGCGCGCGCTGCCGCTCTGGGCGCTCACGCACGCCAGCGCCAGCTACCTCTTCCTGACGGTGGGCTTTGCGGCGGCGCACCACCACCCGAGCATCTTCCACGACGGTGACGTGCCGCTCGCCTCGCTGGATTGGGGCCTCCAGCAGCTGGATGCCGTGGGGGACCGGAAGGCGGTGCGCGGCTCGCTGCCGCTGGTGCTGACGCTGTTTGGCGACCACGGCCTCCATCACATGTTCCCCACGGTCGACCACGCCAAGCTGGCGTCGTTGTACGGCGTGTTCGAGGAGGTGTGCGCCGAGTTCGGTGTGCGATACCGGTACTTCTCGCTGCGGGAGATGTTCGGTGGTCAGTACCAGCAAATGGTGCGCTCAGAGCCGCGATGTTCCGACCTGATGCCCGCCGCCGGCGCCGGGGGACCGGAGGTCATCAACAGGGGACTCTGAGAGGGACGGGAGATTGGAAGCCACCGAAGGGGGACTCTGGGATGGCCAGGCGTCATCAGCAGGAGTCGCTAGAGTGCTAGGCTTCATTAGCAGTATCCGAAGTTGAAAATATATATTGAACATGCCCATTACAATACAGAAAGTTTCACCTGCATGGAAGTTTTTGAGACCATGGAAGTATACCCTTGGAAACGTCATTTCGTTGAATCGTGCAAACACGCGTGGAGGCATTGAGATGACCGGGATGACAACGGCCTGGTACTTCAGTAAATTTTTTTGGCAGCTGGGACGCACTTGTAACGCTCATCGTCAGCGACAGACGCGCTATTTTCAAGTTCTGGTCGTGCGCTGGGGCTCGACGTTGAAGTAAATCCAGCAAGGTAGGCACGAACCGCTCGGTTAACCTTAATCTGCCTCTAGAGGTCAATGTCATTTTACAGCTGGTGGTGTATGTATACCGGTAGGTAAAAAAACGCCACTGGTGGAGAAGATCTGCTACCGAGTTACCAACTGAGAAGTTTTGCCGCTGGACTGCTGGGTCCGCAAAATACCAGGCGTAAACATCCTACGCTGCTAGGACTGCGTGGCGGGGTGGCAACCAAGGCCCTATAATAATAGCCGCAACAGCGCGGTGGCGGCGTGGTCGTAAGAGTTCTTGAAGTCAGCTCGAAAATCGGAAGGCCATGATGCGGGGTGACGTGAGCGGATTGCACATAGTCAAACTTCAAGTACTTACCAGAGTGCGGTTCTGGTCAGATAACCACCGCCAAGTCCCCCCAAACTGAGTGTTTGGAGTATGACATAAAGGGCGTTGTTGCTTATCACGGTCAAAAATGGTCAGGAACGGTGAAGAAAGGGGGGACAAAATAACACGCACCCCTAATTGACTCTTCAAATACAAACCTGCACAGACTGTATGGGTGTAGGTTCGCAAAATAAGTTGGTGGAGGTGAGCAGAGCAGTGGTAGATAGCCCCAATTACTGCCAAATTACGACAAGAAATAGGTTTCTCCGCGGATTTAGCCCGTTTCCTTCTCGAAGTTGGGAGAGGGGGAGGGGTAAACCTCCTGCGTGAGACATTTGCATTTATGTGTGAGTGCGTCCAGTACGTGCCATAAGGCGTCACGACATTCGTTATGAGACTTGATGCAGATAACGTAATAGAAGCGTGCTTCGCAAAATGAATTGGTGGGGTACTGAGCAGCTGACATTCGCGAAACCCGCCTGAAAAGTACGCCTCCAAACGGGGTTTCCGCGGATTTGCTCACTGTTTTTTTCAAAGTTGGGGAGGTTGGAGTCTACGTGTGGAGCGGGGGCTTTCACTGAAAAGGGAACTTCATGCCTATAGCCTGATATCGTCAATGTATTGTGCAAGCGTCTAGAGCGCCTGAATACGGCCGGTGATTTGAGAACGAGAACACAAGTGATTAGTGACCGTCACCCTGATTAGCCGTTTTTCGTGAAGCGAACTGCCAGCGGGGTTAATGACAACTCCCATCCCTCTACCGTTTCCAATCTAAGAAAGGCAAAGGCTAGCGAAAAACAACATTGAGTTGGTCTCGACGAGATCTCACGATTGGTGATAATCTTTTTTTAGGTCGATATTAAGCCGGTTATGTCAGGACAAATGTCAAATTTTCCTGACCACGGAACTTGTGCAGGTTCGCGTGCTCATATTTATTAGATCACGCCCTGTAGCGACACAAAACTTAAACAGGTGTATTCCTAGTGTAGTATTCCTTGAGTACAAAGGTGTCTAGGTTTATGTGTCTGCAGCATATATCTGTGATGTGTGGCTCCGTTAACATACCAGTGTGGGCCCGCCGTGCGCGATTCGCGTAATCATCCATTGCCGCGCGCCGCCCGCGCTGGCCGTGGATCTCCGTGGAGTGTTCCACATCCAGGGAAACAGAAATGTTGTATGTGAAGCTATAACGATGACACTGGCCACTGCTGGGTGAAAAGAGGAGGCAGGGGGAGTACAGGAGCCGAGGCTCATATTGCAATTGGAGTAAGGATGAAAGAAACACGTTTTCTCGATCTATATTGACGAATTTCATTTTGCTCATCCTAACCACGTGCTGTGATACTGTGCTACCCTCTTCTTTTCTGTCCTATCCTGTCATGCCATCTCCATGCCCTGTCCTGTCATAACCATCTCCATGGTTGTCCTGACTTGTACTGTCTCCCGTTCCACCCCCAAGGGGCCGGCAGTGTAATGGTCAACGCGATTGCGTTAACCACTACACTTCTGGGAAACCAGAGGTGCATGGTTCGCTTCCCCGTCGTGCTGCCCATTTCTGCCAGGGTGAAAGGCAGGTGACGCCATGTAGCCTCAGCAGCTGGGTGCGTCGTCAAGTTCCTATGACGGCCGCTGTTTTTCTCGTCGTCACATGCCCTATGCTTTTATATCGTGTTCTACCTTGTCCTCTGTTATTCCGCCTCGGGCGCTAACCTGACCTGTTCTGTCCTGTTGCCACCTATTCTCCATCTCCTGTCTTCTGGCTGCCATGGCATGCCCAATGGTGGCGGAACCTCTTTGGAGATCGGGGGACGGAAAACATAATTTTTGCCCCGTTTGTCATGATGTGTGCATTCCCCCAAGTTTGCATGTATACTTCTTTCTTCTTTAAAGCTTTCGATTTAAATGCCATTTGTAGTTTAGGATGCCCCCTTAATATTTCAGTATGAACAGTTCAATCCTGATTTTCTCCGACATCTCAGAGTCGAGATTACGCCCATACGTAAAAAGCAAACATCATTACACAGCACGTTGTTTTTAACATGCTTCTCAACGTCCGTTAACTTTTTTATTTTGTTGTTCCCTGACTCGTCCTTTAAAGCGTATTTATTATGCTTGCCAATTTCATGTTTACAGTAGTACTTGCCTGAGAGCATGATAAGAAAACTTTTGTAATTTGTTTGTTTTGCAGCGCATTTTTGCCGGAAGTGACGCTATTATCTACTGGGGTAAATGCACCAGCTGGTGGCCCTTTTCGATTGCATACGTCTGCTAGTGATTTAATATGTTTCCGATCTAGTGGCGTTATATGCATATGGACGTTAGTATCTTTATTCATCCTGTGGTGCTAGCCACCTTATAATAATCCTGTTTGCATTCGCACATTCAAAAAAAAATTTAGTTGAGTTTTCATGTGCCATCGGATCTGCTTCTAGTGAGGCTCCAGAAGATGGAAAGACTAAAATCACCGTTGAGGTGGGGAAATGCCATAGCGGTGTTCGGGACCCACGCAAAATAATGCAAGGTTTGTGATTGACTGAGATATGCGCACGCGACGTGCCTGAATGAATTGATCACATGAACGAACTGGCGCTTATGGCGTGTTTAAGCACTGAACTTGATCATTGCCACCATTCAACTGTTCCCAACTGCAATGGTTAGTGTTCCATCCGTGCTGCACGACCATGTTACCTACACAGAGACATGTCATTGCGCCGTGATATGGTGCGCTTCACCAGCCTGCAGACAGCTGAGCCTGGCGACGGCTTACTGTAAACAGGTGCACCTCATGCCACTGGCCTCGAGCTCCGCGGGGGGCAGAGGTCGGGGACTGCTCAGCCGTGTGACGTCGGGGTCAACGACCTTATAAAGCTGGTTCGTGACGTAACGCGAGAAGGGTGTCACGACTCGCGTTGTGGCATATCTGTTGGTCGTATGCACGGAAACCGTTGCTCCACGCAGGACACTACTCACGCGGCTTACGCATCAAATAGATCGTTTTACTTCAGTCGTTGTCAAACACAATGCGCAGGGAGGAAGACATTTCCCGAGCAGCGACGAGGCCAAGGGTCGCGAATATCAGTCAGAAGCCATCTTTCATTGGGTGGGGTCACGGAGATAACGAAGGTCTTGTCAACTCGACTTGAGGGTCAACTTGTGTCGGTCAAGGGGTACAGTGGCCGACAGGCTTATAAAAGCTCTCTCTCTCTCACTTCTCTCTCTCTCCCTCTCTCTCTCTCTCTCTCTCTCTCTCTCTCTCTCTCTCTCTCTCTCTCTCTTCTCTCTCTCTCTCTCTCTCCTCT